GATCTTGCATGCATTTCGTGTGTATTTTATCTGACTTTTCCATACATATCATTAATATCATATGGCAATGCCTGACTTAAAAATTTCAATAAATTTAGTTTTTGACTGATTTTTTAAAGTCAGAACATGATTTGACCTGTTTAAGTCAATTTGTCAGAACATAATTTGACCTGTTCAAGTCAGTTTGCAGAACAAAATTTCCAATTAAAGCTAGGTGTACTTCCTTTAAGCCCTGCTTCTGAATCTGCCATTTTTGAGTTTATTATTTGATAAATTTTTAGAAACAATTAAGTCAAATTGGTTATTTATTTTAGGGGATCTTACATATATTTCCTATGTCTTTTATCTGACGTTCTCATACATTCATTAATATTATATGGAAGTGTCCAACTTTAAAATTTCAATAAACTTAGTTTTGGACTGACTGTTTTAAGTCAGAACATGATTTGACCTGTTTAAAACAAAAATACATTTAATATTGAATATACCAAATAAACTTTTTTATAGTCCTCATTATTGTGACGTAAGGGGACCTTATTTCATCTGGCTATTATCTGGCTTTCCCATACATTTTAAAATCAATATGAAAATCCTAGACTTAAAAGTTGAAATAAGTTTAGTTTTGTTTGACTCTTTGAAGTCAGAAAATGATTTGACCTGTTAAAGTCAGTTTACAGAACAAAATTTCCAATCAAAACTAGGTCTTCTTCCTCTAAGCCCCCCCCCCCCCCCCCCCCTTTTTTCCCTTTATCTGAATCTGCTACTGTTGAGTTAATTAATCATGTTAATTGATAAGTTTTTTTAGAAACAATTCAGTCAAATGGTCTTTAAAATAATATTTTTTACAACCAAAAGTTCCATGTGTTAACTTAACAGAAAAGAAAAAGTCATGAACATACAGAAATAGAATAAAATTTTAAGATAATTTGATGAAACTTGTAAACAAAATACATTTGAATATTACATATACCAAACAAACTTTTTTTATAGTCCTCATTATTGTGACTTTATTATTGGGTGTCTTTTATCTGTTTTTCCCATACATTCTTAAATGCATATGACAATGCCAGACTTAGAAGTTGCAATAATTAGTTAAAGTATAGTTTTTGACTGACTCTTTGAAGTCAGAACATAATTTGACCTGTTTAAAACAAAATACATTTAAATATTGAATATACCAAATAAACTTTTTTATATAATCCTCATTATCATTATTTTTTATCTGGCTCTCCCATACATTTTTAAATCAATATGACAATACTAGACTTAAAAGTTGTAATAAGTTTAGTTTTGACTGACTCTTTGAGGTCAGAACATGATTTGACCTGTTAAAGTCAGTTTACAGAACAAAATTTCCAATCAAAGCTAGGTGTACTTCCTTTAATCCAAGAAAGTCCTTGCTTTCAGACTGCTTCTGAATCTGCCATTTTCGAGTTTATTATTTGAAAAATTTTTAGAAACAATTAAGTCAAATGGTTATTTATTTTAGGGGATCTTAACAAATATTTCCTGTGTCTTTTATCTGACGTTCCCATACATTCATTTAATATCATATGGCAATGCCCGGCTTAAATATTTCAATAAATTTATTTTAGTTTTGGACTGACTCTTTTAAGTCAGAACATGATTTGACCTGTTTAAAACAAAATTCATTTAATATTGAATATACCAAATAAACTGTTTTATAGTCCTCATTATTGTGACTTATGGCGACCTTATTTCCTCTGTCTTTTATCTGGCTTACCTATACATTTTTTAATCAATATGACAATACTAGACTTAAAAGTTGTAATACGTTTAGTAAGTCAGAACATAATGTGACTTGTTTGAGTCAGTTTGCACAACAGTATTTACCTCAATGAAATATTAAAATAATAAATGTTTTGCTCTTAATACATTTAGCTTAAAGAGGTACTAAAACGCACATAACAAGTTATTCTTATCTTAAAGTTCAAAATAATTGATAAAAAATGCAAAAAAACCGATGCAATTTGGTCCACTAATTACAGAGATAATAGCGTGTAAAGTTCATCTATTTTTACCTTCGGAAAATCCAATCATAGCTACTTCCGGAAACAGCACTAAAACCAAATCTACCGGAAGTGACGCACTGTGGGTCACTTCTTCGGCTTATCTAAACGTTGTTTAATAAATGAACTTTCTTCTGATCGTTGATTGAAAGCACTGCCGATGATCGAATTTCGCTACCCATTCAAGTTCATTCTTCAATATGACCAATTTGTCAAAAGGAACAAAATATGTTTCAGAAGGGAAGTGTATTTATTACGTGTTTCAACAGAAAAAGGGGGGATGGGGTTTGGATAATTCAGCATTGAGTTTTCAACTGAAAACATTGTTCCTGATCGTAGAACTGAGACAACTTGACGGTCAATATATTATTGATCTAGCTATTAATTAAAAAAAAATATTGAGTCGAGAAAAAATATAGTTTATATTTACATGTAAAGTTGCATAACATCTTGGCAAGATATGACGGTAGAGGCTTCTGTTCCATGTAATAAAAATAATTAATTGCCAGTTAAAAACCGGGTATGTGTAATACCTTATTAATAATGTTAATTATCAAACTATAAAGTTTATCACTTTATAAACAACAGGTGGCATTTCTGCATGGGCAAGTTGTTAATTACCTGAGTGGAGGGATAATAGCTACCGTTTGATCTTTATTACCTTACTGTATACAGGATGTTTATGTATCAGTAGTATCAAAGTGCGGACTGTTTTAATTATCAGGATCAAAAGGTGATCGAAAGGATTAATATTTTCTTGTTTGGTTATTTATTTGTCATTGCTTAAATTTCAAATTGAAGAAAAGTTCAATATTTTAAAAGCAGTATGGTATAATTTTTTAGTTTTGTTTGAAAACAGGAAAAATTTCTACATTTTTTTTTGGTTACTTGCATATATTCACTTTGCAATTTATGAAATAGTCCATTTAAACCTAGAGTAATGAATAGATGTCAAATTTTATGCATGAAAAGGATATATTTATTGGCACTATATCATAATGAAACCATTTAAGTACCAAGCCGCTTTGACAAATTGTTATCTTAATTTACAATTATTTTTTATTATTGATTTTTTCAGAATGAATTTTGTTTACATTGTTGCCATATATATAAAGGTTCTAGAAAAATAACAAAAATTGTTTTGACAAATGTTTTCTTATTAAAAAAAACAAAAATTAAAAACTGAATTGTGAATTTTTGTACTGTGACTTTCTATCCTACATTCGTCCGTAGGTAGGACTTTGCTCATGATGCTGGGTCAAGCTGGGATCTGAAATAACGTTAGTATATATGACACATATAGCAATATTTTTACATAAGGTCCAAGGACTATGACAATCATTTATACTTATACTGATTTCCATTTTAAAATTTTGTTTGATTTTCAAATCTCCGTATAAGTTAATTACACGTCTATCCAGTATTTCATTTTTAATGAAATAGCTTGATCAATACATATTCAGGTTTTTCCTAAACCAGCCAAGCAGATTACTGTGACTGACAGTTCTATATTCATCACATTATCTGGAGAATAAACTTATATAATTTTGAAATGCTGCTGTAGCTAACTAAAGTCGTAAGAAAGAGAATTTTTATTTTTTTGTAGCTCAGAAAAACCCACATAGTTTAATTTAACAAATCGAACTCCGTCGTCTTTTGGAAGCACGTGTTGGGAGTGTCCTATTTTGAATGCCGTTTTTCCGCCATAGAAAATAACATGCACGGTTCTACTTCTACTTCTACGGCCACTTGAGGATGCACATGTTAATATTGTATAGAAAAAAAGGTTGATTTGTGCTTTTGGTTTTTCAATACTTTTCTAATTATAAACATTTGATTAAAATATTTATGCGATTATCAAGCCTCGATAAATGATTATCAATATTCTCAATATAATAATTGTCACCGTTATATTTCAAAACTGTTATTTTACTTAGCAAGCCGTGATCTGTTTGCATACGATATAACACACGTATTTGATCAGGGTTACCCACTGTGCGTCACTTCCGTTGGGTATAAGTAGTGCGTTGTAGTGGCGTGTTTTACTAAATCGTTCAGGTGTTCAAATGACAAACTGACAGTAATTTGCAAATATCTCGATAATTACAAGATGAAATTTTATCGGGTTTTTTGCATTCTTAAACATTAATTACGAACTCTAGAATAAGACAAACATGATTTTAGCGTTTTAGTACCTCTTTAAAGTGGATGAGAATATATCTTTTATTAACATAGTCTTATCATGAATAAGTGTCTTGTTTTTCCTTGGAAGATTTGAAGTATTGTCATGGTACTAGTAAATGTATCCAATATTGTATTTTGTAAATCTTTTGATATTCAGAAAATTGTATGATCCATTTTTTCTCACCTGGTTTTTCTTTGTATTTTGAAATAATTGAAAGTGATGAGATAAATATATTATGTTTAGATTCTGGAAAGGAGAAGGTATGATGTCAGATGAGCCCCACTTTTTAAAACTCTTTAATTCGAAACTAGTAATCACCATATTTTTATGGAGATTGATAACAAAGTGGTAGTAATGACTGCTTCAAATCAGAACAAAAATGACCTCTCGAAGTCAAAATGCATTAAAAAGGGGCATAAATCTTATTAGAATATGAAGATATTAAGTCACAATATTTTGTGCAAAAGCTGACCTGTGGAAATCATTTTATGATAAATTAAAGTCTGACATAAACTGACCTGTACAAGTCATATTCTGTTGAGTGCAAGAAGGGAGACAACACTTACATCAAATTATATCTGACCTATGGAAGTCATTTTATTCTGACTTGTTTATGTCAGAGCTCTGACTGTTTAAACTACAATAATAATTATTTTAGGGACCATTTATTTACATGCAACCAAAACTAACTACACAATTCATTATTGTCTTGAAGGCCCAAGTCAATAATGGAGAACTGTAGTGTTATTAACATGTTTGAAATGTGTTCTTGTTTTTTTTATTAGACTACAACACCACATGAACTTTGGTTCAACTTCCAGAAAACCAGATATATTTATGATCGAGAGGAAAAGAAGCAATTTCTATCAATACCATTCCCTGATGATAAGTCTATTGGATACTACATGGACTGTAAAGGCTACCTGGAAGAGGAGGAAATTAAACATGCAGAAAAATTTTATGGTCAAAATAAGTTAGTGTTTTTGTTTTATTTTGAAATATCTGTTGTTTTTACAGGTTAATTAAATTGCATGTTTGTTTTATTATGAATTTAACCACCTCTGTGGTCTCATGGTAGCGTGTTCGCCTTAAGTGTAGGGGTCCTGGGTTGGAACACGGGCTTGGTCAAACCAAAGACTTTAAGATTGGTATTTGCTACTTCTCTGGTAATCATGCAGCATTAAGGAATAGGAGCAAAGACTGGTCTCTGGGTAAAACAAATGTTTCCAGGTAGGGTGACATGTTTTCCTGCGGACTGAGACCTTGTGAACTAGCATGCTAAAAGTCTGACTCAGGCTGTCAGTCTAGTGCAAAGCAGGGTTGATATTCATATTACATTAACATGTTCTCGCCCTGAATATGCATTTAATTGATGGTGGACGTTAAGCATCCATTCATCATCATCATTATTATGAACTTGATTGATCACAATACTGTGGATTCATTCATATTCTTTGGATACCAATTTTTCGTGGATTTCATGGGTACAGGTGAACCATGAATTTAAATGTTCAACGATTACAAATTTTCTAAAGGAATGTATGCAGACTTTGCCAAAACAACAAAATTAAACATCCACAAAAATGCAAGTTTTCCTCAATCCACAAAAATTGGTACCCACGAAAATAATTGAATCCACAGTATTGATTTATAACTTTCATTTTGCTTAATGCCAGGACATCTGAGTTTATATAGTTTTACCATACCATTATTCTATAATCTGTCGTATCCTTCTGAAATGTGACATTTGTTGACACTTTTTTGTAATGCCTGTAGAAACTGATCTGGGTTTTAGTTTGTAGTGGAATGAGGACTCTTTCACGGAATAATGGTCCTTAAGTGTAGGAGATTTATAAAAAAAAAAGATCATCTCACTTCTGTTTTAAATGAAGGTATTTGCTTCATATTTGGAATAATGATATTTGTGTAAATGATGATTTAAAGATTGAATATGCATTTTTCTTACATACTTTTGTAAGAGTTATGGCTCTTGTTCATATCTAACTTGCTGAGCATGGTGTCATTCATCTGAAGTTTAGAAAATAAAAAAGTCTGCCCAATCATGGAAGTTCACTGTTTAACACAATGTTAAAAGTTCAGTTAAAGCTTATACAATGCTTTCATTAAAATGGCAACACTATTGATTTCATCATAAATGATGCAATATTTTTTTTATATTTGTATATGTGAAGATCAAATTTAATTTTCTTAGGGCTATGGTCTTGTATGTCCAAAATTATTCAAATATTATTTTTAGGCTTAAGTGTCTTTTTTAATACTTTTTAAGATGTTTTTAAAGGTCTACCTACAGGTATCAGTTCTAGGATATATTGAGTAAATTAAACACATCAATAAGCTTTAAGTAAAATTACCCAATGTATTGTTTACAGAATGGAAATGGATCTGCCTAAGTTTATGGAATTATTTAAGGAGAGAGCTACAGCTCCCTTTTTTGTGTTCCAAGTTTTCTGTGTTGGTCTGTGGTGCTTAGACGAGTATTGGTACTACAGTGTGTTTACCCTGTTCATGCTGATTGCATTTGAAGCCACACTTGTTCAACAACAGTTAAGAAACATGTCAGAAATAAGGAAGATGGGCAGTAAACCCTATCTTTTACAGGTAACATCTGAAATGGGTTATGGTTGATATGACCTGTAGTAAAACAAAAATAAAAAAAATAATGATTTTTAATCACAATAATGTAATTCATGATTTACATGATTTATGTACAAAACAAAAGAAAAACAAATCTGATATACAACAAAAAAAGGCAACCACTGAATTATAGGCTCCTGACTTGGGACAGGCATACAGAATGTGGCGGGTTAAACACCTTTGCTTTTTACATAAAAAGATGACATCACATTATAGTTTTATGCCCCCGCCACAGCGGAGGGGGCATTAAGTGTTACCCTTGTCCGTCCGTACTTCCCGAAATTGGTTTCCATTCTCTAACTTTAGTTTGCCTTATCAAATGTTATGAAACTTATACACAATGCTTATTACCACAAAACACGGATCAAGTTTGAATTTGGGTGATGTCACTTTTACCGTTCTAGTGTTATGTCCCTTTATATGGTTTAAATGCAAGAGGGGGCATCATCTGTGTCCCATGGACACATTCTCCATTTATTCATATAATTATTTAGAATTTTATGAAATTTTCAAGTATTAAATCTCATATTTTTCTAGAGGTAGCATTTGTAGATGTATGCTTAAGCCTTCTTTTCTTAGATTTTTGTTATTTATCATTACAGGTGTATAGAAACAGAAAATGGAGACCTATTATGAGTGATGAGTTATTGCCTGGAGACATTGTATCTATAGGTATGAATTAATATGGGTAAATAAACTTAAGGGAAAGAACCCTTTGTAAGTCAAAATAGTCAACAGAATGTTTGAACAGTATTGTGAAATTAAAGCATCTTGGTAACAAAGATTTAATTTTAAAATGCGCTGATTCTATCTATGGTATTTGCTTTTGGATATTTTGTGTTAAATCTAGTTGCTTGATTTTTGGAAACAGCAGACATTTATCCTGTTTATTCTGTTATGCTGGGCACTCCTTAAGCATTTATAAAATATTTTTATTCTTTTAGAAATATACCCATTTGCCAAACCTCTAGAAATGCTGCAATATAAAAATTTAAAAGCAAAAATTGTAAATAATATACATGTAAATACTTATAAGGTTTTTGTAAAAGAAATATGTTTTTTTATGGGGCATTAAGTGTTACAATTGTCTGTCTCTCTGTCCCAAAATTAGTTTCTGTTCTCTAACTTTAGTTTGCCTCAACCGTATGTTATGAAACTTATACACAATGCTTATTACCACAAAACACAGATCAATTTCAAATTTGGGTTGTGTCTCCTTTACTGTTCTTGAGTTATGTCCCTTTATAACGTTACATGGAAGCAGGTGCATCATCTGTGTCCGTTGGACACATTCTCAATTTATTTTGTGTATGTATTTAAGGAAATATGAATCTATCTGTAAAAACAAATTAACAATTTTATTTCTCTTTGTTTTGACCTAAAGGTCGTTCACAAGATGATCGTGTGATACCATGTGACATGCTGTTGCTACGAGGACCATGTATAGTAGATGAAGCCATGTTGACTGGAGAATCAGTGCCTGTAATGAAGGTACATTTATACAAATGAGAATTTTTCTACAGCAGCAGCAAAAGAAAATTACAACTTTAAAAAGCAATACATTGATAATAGCCAAAAAAGTCTTCAGTTACAGATGAACAGATTTGATTTGATACCAAACTGGCTGTAACTGTATTAAATAAGATATTTTGGCCATTGAGCACATCGAATACACGAGAAAGGTTCAAGTTGTGAAAAGGGGCTTACATTTTTATAATGTTTATTGTAATATTTGGAGCCTTTTTCTGGTTGAGCAGAGCTAGAATTAGGGAAAAAATGGTATATAATATAAAACACCTGGAGCATTGACTTTTAAGTGGCTTACACAAAAAAGCTGTAATATCATCTAAGGTCATTTGTAAGGTATTTGTAATCTATGTGACCTAAGTCTATGTTTAGTTATAAAAGAAAAGATCTATGATGTAATTAATGAACTGTTAATTTGATTAAAATTTATCATCTTTCAAATCAAATCATTGCTAATGTGAGTGGTTATTTGACAGTTCACAAGGGTCATGAAAAGTCAACAAATTTGGTTTTGACTCAATAGTAGAAGTGAAAAAATATGACACTGATTTTGCTTCAAATGACATGCTTACTTTGATTGGTACTTGATTTAAGAAAGTGCCATTCTATTTTTATTATCAATCAGTATGCACTAGTATTACTTTAAAATTTACCAGTGATACAGATTTTCAAACGTGAAACCTTGTATCAGCATTTTTTACTAATTTTAGGAATCAGTAGAAAATATAGACAGGGACCATATATTAGATATGGAACTTGATGGAAAACTTCATGTACTGTATGGTGGAACTAAAGTTGTACAACATACACCACCAAGTAAAACAGGGGCAGGTCTGAAAGGTAAATATACACCACAAGGTAAAACAGGGGCAGGTCTGAAAGGTAAATATACACCACCAAGTAAAACAGGGGCAGGTCTGAAAGGTAAATATACACCACAAGGTAAAACAGGGGCAGGTCTGAAAGGTAAATATACACCACCAAGTAAAACAGGGGCAGGTCTGAAAGGTAAATATACACCACAAGGTAAAACAGGGGCAGGTCTCAAAGGTAAATATACACCACCAAGTAAAACAGGGGCAGGTCTCAAAGGTAAATATACACCACCAAGTAAAACAGGGGCAGGTCTCAAAGGTAAAATATACACCACCAAGTAAAACACGGGCAGGTCTGAAAGGTAAATATACACCATAAGGTAAAACAGGGGCAGGTCTGAAAGGTAAATATACACCACCAAGTAAAACAGGGGCAGGTCTGAAAGGTAAATATACACCACAAGGTAAAACAGGGGCAGGTCTGAAAGGTAAATATACACCACAAGGTAAAACAGGGGCAGGTCTGAAAGGTAAATATACACCACAAAGTAAAACAGGGGCAGGTCTGAAAGGTAAATATACACCACAAGGTAAAACAGGGGCAGGTCTGAAAGGTAAATATACACCACCAAGTAAAACAGGGGCAGGTCTGAAAGGTAAATATACACCACAAGGTAAAACAGGGGCAGGTCTCAAAGGTAAATATACACCACCAAGTAAAACAGGGGCAGGTCTCAAAGGTAAATATACACCACCAAGTAAAACAGGGGCAGGTCTCAAAGGTAAAATATACACCACCAAGTAAAACACGGGCAGGTCTGAAAGGTAAAAATATACACCATAAGGTAAAACAGGGGCAGGTCTGAAAGGTAAATATACACCACAAGGTAAAACAGGGGCAGGTCTGAAAGGTAAATATACACCATAAGGTAAAACAGGGGCAGGTCTGAAAGGTAAATATACACCATAAGGTAAAACAGGGGCAGGTCTGAAAGGTAAATATACACCACCAAGTAAAACAGGGGCAGGTCTGAAAGGTAAATATACACCACCAAGTAAAACAGGGGCAGGTCTGAAAGGTAAATATACACGACAAGGTAAAACAGGGGCAGGTCTCAAAGGTAAATATACACCACCAAGTAAAACAGGGGCAGGTCTCAAAGGTAAATATACACCACCAAGTAAAACAGGGGCAGGTCTGAAAGGTAAATATACACCACAAGGTAAAACAGGGGCAGGTCTGAAAGGTAAACATACACCACAAGGTAAAACACGGGCAGGTCTGAAAGGTAAATATACACCACAAGGTAAAACAGGGGCAGGTCTCAAAGGTAAATATACACCACAAGGTAACACAGGGGCAGGTCTCAAAGGTAAATATACACCACAAGGTAAAATGGGGGCAGCTTTTTAAAAATAAATCTCAGACTTTTAGTATTTTCGTGACATAATAGAATTAAATTGGCTTTATTCAAGCCAAATCTTGTTTAGCTTTACCTGTTAGCCATTAAAAAAAAAAATAAAATGTTATATAAACACACTAAAAACATTAAATGATCTGAAAGGAACACAATGATCTTCTAAAATAGATGTTCTACACATTGACCCATCATTTAAATCATTACCTACCAGAGTTCTACAAATAGTTGGCAATTATGAATCATGTACTTAAACAGTAGCATATATAACTTTTTTACTTTTTCTTATAGCTAGTGATAATGGATGTATTGCCTATGTTATTCGCCACAGTTTTAGCACATCTCAAGGGAGGTTACTCAGAACTATTTTGTTTGGTGTGAAACGAGTTACAGCTAACAGTTTAGAGACTTTTGCATTTATTCTGTTTCTGCTCATTTTTGCCATCTCTGCAGCATCGTATGTTTGGATCAAAGGTAACTAAGATACGTATATCTAGTTTATGTTTAAAACAAGAAAAAAGATATATATAAAGGCAGAGGTATAAGAAATCAAAATAAGTAGAATTCTTAAGAAAAGAAAAAAAAATTACATTTTGTAACTTGTTGGACTGTTTTATGCAGTTTTTATGATGAAAAAAATAATGTTCTTGTTTTGCAAGCTAAGCTATAGTAGATTTTTTTAAGTTCGATTCAAATAATCATCAGTTTTAACACCTTTGTTGTCATCTACTGTAAAATTTGATTTAGTTAAGACCTGAGATGATAAAGGGATAGGGAAGTCTTATCATATGTAATTTCTTGTTTTTACAGGTTCAGAGGATCCAAAGAGAAATCGCTACAAATTGTTTTTAGAATGCACATTAATTCTGACATCAGTTGTCCCTCCAGAATTACCAATAGAATTATCATTAGCTGTCAATACAAGTTTACTAGCATTAACAAAGTTATGTAAGTACACATATGCATATCTATTATATATTTTATAGTAGTTGTAAATACATGTGAATTTTATGTGTAATACAATCAATGGCAATCATTCTGTTTATGTGTAATACAATCAATGGCAATTGTTTTGTTTATGTGTAATACAATCAATGGCAATCGTTCTGTTTATGTCTAATACAATCAATGGCATTTCTTCTGTTTATGTTTAATACAATCAATGACATTCATTCTGTTTATGTGTAATACAATCAATGGCAATCGTTCTGTTTATGTCTAATACAATCATTGGCAATCGTTTTGTTTTTGTGCAATACAATCAATATCAATTGTTCTATTTATGTGTAATACAATAAATGGCAATCATTCTGTTCATGTGTAATACAATCAATGGCAATCGTTCTGTTTATATGTTATACAATCAATGGCAATTGTTTTGTTTTTGTGTAATACAATCAATGGCAATCTTTCTGTATCAGCCATCTATAACAATATCAATATCAGTCACTGTTGCACAGGCTTAATAAACCCAACAGTCAAACATCTGTTTTAAACCTGCTATAAGGGTCACCTCTAATAAGCAAAAGCTTCTCTTGACAGGTCAAACCTTTCTTTTTCTTGTCCTCCTGTAGTAATACCTATTCATTCTGTACCTCATTTCTAACCCAGGATAAAAGGGGGGTTCCAACAATATGTCCCCATTCAAAAGCATTGATTGTCAACCAAAAAGGGGGGTTCCAACCCCCAGGAACCCCCTCCCTGGATCCGCCACTACTGAGTAATCTTTCTTGTTTAGAAGAAACTATCAGTTCTACAATATTTTATTTTAGGCAGATGTTGTGAATCCTTTCTTCAAATTCATTAACCAAAAGAATTAATAGATTTCTTACTCGTTATAAGGAAAGTAAAAAGATACCAAGTTGGCAATAAAAAACATTAGTTGAAAAGGAACAGAATACTACAGTCAATAGAAAAAGACAAACAAATAAAAATACAAATGAAAAATCTGTATTCTGATGCAATTAAAAAGATTAAAGCCATGATCTCTTCTTTTAAATTAGTTAAATTAGCATGTTTTATATTAATTTTATTGTATTCTTCTAAATTCAACTCATTGTTGACTTACTGACTCCATGATATATAATTTTTTATATCTTCACAGATGTATTCTGTACAGAGCCTTTTAGGATACCATTTGCAGGAAAAGTTGATATATGTTGCTTTGATAAGACAGGAACACTGACAGCTGATAATTTAGTCGTGGAAGGTGTCGCCGGTATCAAGTAAGTGTACAAATATCTTTGAAAGATTTATGATGAGAACAATTGCTTTAATGACCTTAGCTCCTCTGTTTCAAAATAACAAGCTTTTCAAAAGACTGTTAGAAACTGATAGTATATAAATAACGGAACTTAAAAAGTAGAAAAAGTCTGTGTCCTTGTTTTTGAGATATTATCAATTGAAAATTTGGCGGGAAAGGATCCTCTCTAGATTTTTTATACATTTAACATTTGCACCTTTTTCTTTCAAAAACTATTTAATTATAACAACGGTTTTATATGATTTTCAAAAATGGCTTTTTAAACTATATGCAATAAAATTATGAAAAGAAAAGAAGGGGTTAGTGGGCAAAATTTTTATTGGCACTACATGTATAAAACTAGATGATTCTGAATATCTGACAAAAAAATCCAAAACAAGAGTAGCAAACATCCTTAATAACTTAGAACTACTGTAATTCATTATAATGAAAGAAAATATTGTCAATTCATTTATTTCATGGATTTAAGAAATGTTTATATATTTACATGGATTACGGAAATCATATATTTTCGTGGATACTTGATTTCATGGTTTGTCAAAATCTGCATACAAGCCTATTGGGAAATTGTATGTTTTTTAACACTAAAATTGTTGGAAAACCTATAACCAAGAATTCAATGAAAACAATTACCTCACTTATAACCATGAATTCACAGTATCATCAATAAGACAAAGTCTATGCATTCCCAAAATAAAATAAGTATTGAAACAAAACTTCTATATCAGAATGAAATGGTTTATGTGTCAGCTAATGGCATGTTTATTTTCATATATTTACAGTGGAACAGAGATAATGCCTGCCAGTGAAGCACCGTTAGAAACAATTCATGTAATGGCTACCTGTCATAGTCTGCTGGTACTAGATGATGAACTTGTTGGTGATCCTTTGGAAAAGGCCACACTGAAATCTGTTGAATGGAACTTAACAAAAGGTGAGTTTCTTGTGTGATCCTTTGGAAAAGGCCACTCAGAAATCTGTTGAATGGAACTTAACGAAAGGTGAGTTTCCTGGGTGTTTTTTTTTTATTTTGAATAAAATGGAATCAAGTCATTTTTCTTATAAATATTGCTTTGCCACTACTTTAAAGATAGAAAACTTAATGATTCCATGGTAGAATTTAATCTAATTTGAAATCTATAATATTTGCAGTTTTACTTGCATTCAGTAAAAATATTAACAGGTTCAAAAATTGCTTCCCTGATAAATGGAATGAATAACAGAATACAATTGCATCTGCATGTGTTCCTTCTAGGACAATTATCGAGATTTTTAAGTGTCAACAGTTATCACTTTGTTGTTTTTTTGTGGTGTTGACCTGCTGTTTCATTGATATATATCAAACATCTACTTTTGTTTATCAGATTCGTTGCATCACATCATAAAAATAAAACTGATACACCAATTTTTTAGTATCTAACATAAAGCAGTAAAAACCCTTAAGAATATAATATAAAGAATGATAATATGTTTACCTTATATTATTATATTATTTCAATATATTGTTATAAACTAGAGTAAAACCCAAACTGGATAGTAAGCTATACAAGGGCCTGACATAACAAAATGTTTCACAATTCAAATGAGAAAATCAATGAATTGATTTATGCTAAAATAATAAATGTGAAAAACTAATTTGACAGAAAGCAACCAAAAACAACCACTGAACACATGTTTGCTCTACAGATGTTTTGGGAAAGTTGAAAGCTTGCATCTTTTAATCAATTTCTAGTTAATGTACTAATATTTAAATATTTTTTCAGGAGAGACTGTTGTTCCTCAGAAGAAAAAGACACATGGTCTTAAGATCTACCAAAGATTTCACTTTGCTAGTGCTTTAAAAAGAATGTCTGTAATAGCAGGACACACTCCAGCAGGCAGTAGTGAAACAGAATATTTAGGAGTGGTAAAAGGAGCTCCAGAAACTCTTCAGTCAATGGTAAATATTTGGTTTTCGACTTTTGTTTTGATAGTGTTAAAGGGTGCATTGATGGTGTAATGCAATAAGAATAAAATGCTTGTAAGATGTACAGGTGGCAGTGTTCATCTGACCTGAACCTCAATTTCATGGTTCACTGGTCAATGTTAAGTTGTCTTGGTTAAGTCCATTTCCCTTTACTATAAGCAATAAGTCAACTATATTTGGTGTATGGAAAGCTTGTCAGGTTTACATGTCCATCTGGCAGGGTTTATCTGATCATGACCACATTTTCGCTACATAAAGTTTTTGTAATTTGGTCTATTTCTTGGATACAAAAAACAAAAGATCAACTACATTTGGGGTATGGATTAATTATTAGGTGTATATGTCTGTCTGGCAAGGTTCATTTGACCTTGACCTCATTTTCTTAGTTCATTGATAATGTTTAGGTTTTGTGTTACCAGTAGTAAAAACTTAATCTTCTAGTCTTTTAACATAAAATTCAATCATGATCAGTAAGCACGTGAAAAATTTCACTGTGTTATTGTTTTACGTTGCAGTTCAAGAATTGTCCAGCTGACTATGAAGAAGTGTACTTAGAGATGTCAAGAAGAGGGGCCAGAGTTCTAGCTTTGGGATATAAGAAACTTGGAGTTCTGTCTCATCAACAGGTAAAAGGCTTCCAGCTATATTTGAAGGACCTCCGTCGAATATGCTAAAAGATAGGAATACAATGTTTTCTTGATTACGAAATATTTATATGAGGTAGAAGGATGAAAACACATCCATAAAAATGAAGAAAATATTGTTTCTGAAATCTTAACCACTAAAATGAATTGATTATTATGTTTATCTTTAAGTGTTGTTACAGAATAAAGAAACACTTTTTTTTATCAAGTAGCAACTTTTATATTTTGTGTTACATTTTTAATGTTTTTCAGAGAACATATGCATTTATCTGATTTTACCACCGTGATGGTGAGACAAAAAGAATACATCTTTGCTGTTCACTTGAAAAGACCAGTCACCAATTTGATCAAATGAAATGAATTGCTGAATCATTTTTCATTCAACATATTTCTGCTCTTAATATACAAATGTTCTGATGCTTGAACTGCTTATAAAGATTAGATCCAATATTGTATGTACTGCAGACCTGTTATTTGTCTTCAGAAACCATGTTTCATATTTACTTTAATGGAATATAAAAAGTACAATGATTTTCATGCTTCATGATTGGAATATTGTCAAACTGTTTCTGTTGTAGGTCAGAGATCAGACAAGATCAACCATTGAATGTGATTTGACATTCTGTGGCTTTGTGATAATTTCCTGTCCATACAAAGCTGATTCCAAGTCTGTTATTAAAGAGATCATTAATGCTTCTCATTATGTAAGTTGATAAAATCTGTATAAAGTACAATCATAGTGATTCAGTAAAAATCAATCTTTTTAAGTGAATCACTTTGAAAATGATTAATGAGGATAACACATTGATTTTCTACCTTGTCATATAGCATCTATTGAATATACACTGAGAAATAAGAATGCCAGCATTCACTGTAAAAAATCTCCAGCAAAAGTGTATTTATGGATCAGTCACCTTGTCTGTACTGTAGGAAAACACCTTATCGCTATTTGTCCGCCATTACTGGACATCATAATGGTCCCCTTAAAATTTTGACGTCACAATAGAAATTGTCTGATGCCACAAACGAAAAGTGATTGTTGTATGATGTCAATAGTTCAAGTGTCGCAGAGTTTCCGGTCAAGTGTCGCAATTATATTGCAGTTTGTTTGTGCAATAAAAACCTGCAATGAAATACACTGGTGTTGTAAGATACTTATACTAAAATACAAAGTGCATGCATTGAATATTTCAAAATATGATTTTAAGATTTTGTAAAAAATTCTTTCTGAAACCCAGTGTTCCAAATTTAAATAAGTTTCTATCTGGTGACACAAATTTAAACATAATAGCAAGTGATAAAGAAAGTCTTATTACAGATAGGAAAAATCTTATCCATACATATTTGAATAAATCAATTGCATCAAGATATCTGAAAGTCAGTTTGTTTATGAAAGTATACATAGACAATAACTGTTTAGTGTCTTTAAATATCAGCTGTATTTGTACGAGGCTAAGAAACAGGTGTAATGCGAGCTTGAGCGAGCTATTACTCCTGTTTCGAGCCAAGTACAAATACAGCTGATATTTAAAGACACTAAACAGTTATTGTCTTCATCCTGCAATTAATTTTGTACATTTTTTTCCATCCCAATCGTTGAATTTGTTTTTGAAAGAAATCGACACGACTTAAATGTGGATTGCAATGAGGACCCCAAATTGAACTGTTACATAAACAGTAATTTGACATAACCGTTCGTTCGCAACAGAAGCAGGACACCAGGAGACTATATACGTCTAGTATACGTATATCGCTTCATGTTATCTCTACACCTGTATTAGTATAGTAGAAAGGTCAATTGCAGGATAAATTATCAAAATAGATCAATTGTAACATAGTATATCATTGTTGATAGGTAACCATGATTACTGGAGATAACCCTTTAACTGCTTGTCATGTGGCAAAGAAGCTTAAATTTACAGAGAAAACCACACTGATCCTGACACATCCAAATGATAAAGGTTTGTAGTAAGGGTATACAATTTTTGATGGTTTTATTACTGCATTAAATTTGCATGTTCAGTCAGAAAATAAGGAGATGTGGTAAGATTGCCCATGAGACAAGTATCCACCAGAGAAGAAATAACGAGGATGTAAACAACATCCTACAGCCTTTAACAATGAGCAAAACCAATACCATATAGTATGCTATAAATGGCACTGGCATTGCAAAATGTGAATCTATTCAGGCATGGTTTAAACCAGTACATAACTGGTAATTTTATATTCAATACAAGGTAAATTATTACATTGATTTCTCCCAGATTACTTTTTCCTAATAGAACATTGCTCAGTTACATAGCATTTTGTCAGGTCCAATTAGGTCAATCTTATAAAGTAATATTACTCATCTCACGATGAATATTTATTGTGTTGTAAATCAAAACAAGATACACACACAAACCATTATTATATTTGCCAAAGAGAGTTTAGGACTTTTTGAAACAGCTGTGATAAGGCCCAATATTTGAGGATGTTTCCAACCAGTCATAACATATTTTTGTATTATTTTGATAATAATCGTCAGATTCATAATAGTTTTGAAATGTAACAATGTCTGACACAGGATTTATTTCATTTCATGAATATAGTAAATACAATAAAAAGGTGCAGCAAGGTAAACCAGATATATTACATTTTTAGCTCACCTGGCCCGAAGGGCCAAGTGAGCTTTTCTCATCACTTGGCGTCTGTCGTCCGGCGTCGTCGTCCGGCGTCGGCGTTAACTTTTTACATTTTGAACTTCTTCTAGAGAACCACTGAACGGAATGAAACCAAACATGGCATGAATGTTCCTTATGAGGTGCTGACCAAGTGTTGTTACTTTGTAGCGGATCCATCATCCAAGATGGCCGCCAGCGGGGGACTTAGTTTAACATAGGACCCTATGGGAAATGCATACAAATGTCTTCTTTTAGAGAACCACTGAATGGAATGAAACTAAACATGGCATGAATGTTTCTTATGAGGTGCTGACCGAGTGTTGTTACTTTGTAGCGGATCCATCATCCAAGATGGCCGCCAGCCAGGGATGGGCACGATTACTGACAAATATAATCGATTAATAATCGATTACATGAAGGATTTTTGTGCAATCGATTAACAATCGATTACTCTGATTTTTGTATATAATCGATTACTTTATCAAAAGTAATTACATTACTTTTCGATTACTGTCAATTACATGCTACAAAATAACCAAAAATAATAAAGTAAGTTAAACACAATTATGTTGCTCAACGTTTGTATAGTGGAAATTTAGAAGTTTACTTAAACAACTTTTAAAGCATTGTTTCCAAATTTTAAGTTGACAGTTGTTTTTTAGATGGAATCTCTTACTGAGGATAAGAAATATTCAAAAGTTCTTGAAATTTTGGCTTTCAACATGAATGAGAGATGACATATTCGCATTGCATCAATCATTTATTTATATTGTAGTTTTGTTCAAAAATTTTGCTGTCAAACTAACTCAGGGTAGCTTTTTTGTTTTACTCATTAAAAACAGGTATATTTTAACATAGCTAATTAAAATTTTGGAAGTTTCCTCTGAAAAAAATAAATAGAATAATTAATTAGTTCAGGTAATTTTTATAAAGATCAAAGTATGACATGCATGAATTAATCCTTATTACAGGATATAAAACTGTCAATGGAGTACAATTATAACCTGGGGCAAAATAATGTAAATCTCCCTCTTAATTAGACATAATTGAAATGAAAGCAGTCTCCATCTTATTGATTAGAAGTCTTTGATCATCTGATTAGTAAAGACAAGAAGTTTTTTTTTTATTCTCTAATCAAATTATAAACAATATATATTTACAGTGTCAAAATGGGATACATGCATCTATTTCTGAAAAAAAAGAATTTAAATGCATAGCCATTGGTTCATTGTCAAAAGGATTTTGTGTACTTTCTTAATTTTGATATCATAACATTATAAGGAATCAACTGATTGTCTATTCTAAGCTAAAATTCCAACTCTTATTGAAAATTATGATTTAAGGAATTTTAATACAAATAAGCCTACCACTTTAACTTTAACTTAAGACTCATTTCTTATTCTAAATATATTTTCTTATTTCAAATCTATTTTCTTATTTTAATATAAAAGGTCTTGAATTATTGACAAGCATATAAATCCATTTGTTTCAAAACCTAGATATAAAGTAACATTTGGTAGGGGATCTGGTTGATCATAATGCAGCTTGAGACAATAGATAGAAATAAGGCATTTGATAAACCCTGGAGTCTTATCAATACATTCTATTTTATCTGTACTATAAAGTGCTAAATACATACATATTTTCATTTAAAATAGTTTATATTTCATCAAACTATTTTACTAAAGTAATCGAAATGTAATCGAAAAGTAATTGATGATTACATCAAAATTTTTGCTGTAATCGATTAAATTACGATTACATGTAATTGAAAAAATCTTCGATTACAGATTACTGTCGATTACTGGAAAAAATGTAATCAATTACAATCGATTACGATTACAGATTATGATTACCCCATCCCTGCCGCCAGCAGGGGACTTAGTTTCACATAGGACCCTATGGGAAATGCATACAAATGTCTTCTTTTAGAGAACCACTGAATGGAATGAAACCAAACATGGCATGAATGTTTCTTATGAGGTGCTGACCGAGTGTTGTTACTTTGAAGCCGATCCATAATCCAAGATGGCTGCCAGCTGGGGACTTAGTTTAACTTGGGACCCTATGGGAAATACATACAAACGTCTTATTTTAGAGAACCACTGAATGGAATGAAACCAAACATGGCAAGAATGTTCCTTATGAGGTGCTGACTAAGTGTTGTTACTTTGAAACTGATCCATCATCCAAGATGGCAGCCAGCGGGGGACTTAGTTTAACATAGGACCCTATGGGAAATACATACACATGTCTTCTTTTAGAGAACCACTGAATGCAATGAAACCAAACATGGCATGAATGTTTCTTATGAGGTGCTGACCAAGTGTTGTTACTATGAAGCCGATCCATTATCTAAGATGGCCGCCAGCGGAGGACTTAGTTTAACATAGGACCCTATGAGAAAGACGTACAAATGTTTTCTTTTAGAGAACCATTGAATGGAATGAAACCAAACATGGCATGCATGTTCCTTTTGAGGTGCTGACTTAGTGTTGTTACTTTGAAGCTGATCCTTCATCCATGATGGCTGCCAGATGTGGACAATGTTTAACAAAGGACCCTATGGACAATACATACAAATGTCCTCTTTTAGAGAACCACATACTGAATGGATTGAAACCAAACATGGCATGAATGTTCCTTATGAGGTGCTGACTAAGTTTTGTTACTTTGAAGCTGATCCTTCATCCATGATGGCCGCCAATGGGGGGACTTCCTTTAACATAAGACCCTATGGGAAATACATACAAATGCTTCTTCTAGAGGTGCACTGAATGGAATGAAACCAAAACATGGCATAAATGTTTCTTATGAGGTGCTGATTAAGTGTTGCTACTTTGTTGCCTATTTACTCTTTAAGATGGCCACCAGTTTTTTTTATTGTCGAGCTTGCGACTTTTGTCGCAGAAAGCTCGACATAGGGATAGTGATCCGGCGGCGGCGGCTACGGCGGCTGCGTTAGCTAACTTCTTAAAAGCTTTATATTTTAGAAGATGGAAGACCTGGATGCTTCATACTTTGTATATAGATGCCTCATGTTACGAAGTTTCCGTCAGTTACATGTCCAATGTCCTTGACCTCATTTTCATGGTTCAGCGACTACTTGAAAAAAAAGTTCAGATTTTTTGGAATGTTAAATTCTCTCTTATTATAAGTAATAGGATAACTATATTTGGTATGTGCGTACCTTGCAAGGTCCTCATGCCCGTCAGACAGTTTTCACTTGACCTCGACCTCATTTCATGGATCAGTGAACAAGGTTAAGTTTTCGTGGTCAAGTCCATATCTGAGATACTATAAGCAATAGATCTACTATATTTGGTGTATGTAATGATAGTAAGGGGTACATGTCTAACTGGCAGGTGTCATCTGACCTTGACCTCATTTTCATGGTTCAGTGGTCATAGTTTAGTTTTTGTTTTTTGGTCTGTTTTTCTAATACTGTATGCAATAGGTCAACTGTATTTGGTGTATGGAAATATTTTACGATGTTCATGTCAGTCTGGCAAGCTTTATTTGACCTTGACCTCATTTTCACGGTTCATTGCTCAATGTTAAGTTTTTGTGTTTTGGTTTGTTTTTCTAATACTGTATGCAGTAGGTCAACTATATTTAGTGTATGGAAATATTTTACGATATACATGTCAGTCTGGCATGTTTTATTTGACCTTGACCTCATTTTCAAGGTTCATTGTTAAATGTTAAGTTTTTGTGTTTTGGTCTGTTTTCCTAATACTGTATGCAGTAGGTCAACTATATTTGGTGTATGGAAATATTTAATGATGTACATGTCAGTCTGGCAGATTTTATTTGACCTTGACCTCATTTTCATGGTTCATTGCTTATGTTACGTTTTTGTGTTTTGGTCTGTTTTTCTTACACTTTAAGCAATAGGTCAACTATATTTGGTGTATGGAATGATTGTAAGGTGTACATGTCTAGCTGGCAGGTGTCATTTGACCTTGACCTCATTTTCATGGTTCAGTGGTCAAAGTTAAGATTTTGAGTTTTGGTCTTTTTTTCTAATACTATATGCAATAGGTCAACTATATTTGGTGTATGGAAATATTTTATGGTCTTTATGTCAGTCGCGCAGTTTTTATTTGACCTTGACCTCATTTTCATAGTTCATTGCTCAGTGTTAAGTTTTTGTGTTTTGGTCTGTTTTTCTTAAACTATAAGCAATAGGTCAACTATATTTGTTGTATGGAAGAATTGTTAGCTGTACATGCCTGCCTGGCATGGTTCATCTGACATTGACCTCATTTCCATGGTTCATTGGTCAATGTTTAGTTTTCTTGGTTAATGTTAAGTTTATGTGACAGTTGTAAGAAAGCTTTATATTTAGGACTATCAACATAATATCAATGATTAGTAAAGAAGGGGAGACATTTCAGCGTGTGCACTCTTGTTAAATTACAGGACCAATATTAAACCAAATTTGGCCTCACTCATTATTAGGGTATCTGTTATGATTTTAATCTATTTTTACATGATTTCCAAAACCAAAGTAGAATCAGGTGAGCGACACAGGCTCTTGAGAGCCTCTAGTTTCTAACCCCTATCAATATGAGAAAGAGAATTAGAACCTACAAAACCTAATATTCTTAATCAAATATAACCGGTATGTAAATTTTTTGTCAGATTCTTCTTGGCATTGGCAGTCTATAAATGACAAAATCATCATACCACTAAATTCCAAGAATATCAGGAAAGATGTAATTGAGAAGTATGATTTGTGTTTAACAGGGGAGGTAAGGTCATCAATGTTTATTTGTAAAGGGAGATAATTCAATAAACACCTGATTTACTCCAGTTTACATATCCATATGGTTAAATTAAGTCTTTTGAAATCACAAACAATGGAGCTCAAAACAAATAAGACAATTGAAATATAACTTTAGAAAACTTTAACAAAAGTGCTTCGGATTCGTAAATTTTTCTTGGATTGAGAAAATAATGTATTTTCATGGATATTTGTTCTGGAGGTTTTGCCAGTCTGCATACAAGCTTTTAGAAAATTTGTATTTCATTGAACGTTTAAAATCGTAGTTTTTTAGGAATGAAGCTGATGTGAAAATTCAAAAAACCTGTATTCCTTTGTATTGTCTTAAAGAAATCCTAATGAAACTAACGTTACAAGTTAAGCAAGTCTTAATGCGGACTAAAATATGGACAGTGGCTGTTTATTGCAAATGTTTATACAGTCAATACAAATGATTGCTCTAATAGCATGGTTATGATATACAATTACTAAATGTATTCCAAATGTCATTAAATTATCTTAACATTTGTTTGGCTTACTAATATTCAGATAAATAACAAAATTTTTTAGAGAATGATTTAAATTCTGAAACTTTACAGGAATGCTAGTTCTATTATACTTTTCACTTTAAATTCTGAAACTTTACAGGAATGCTAGTTCTATTATACTTTTCACTTTAAATTCTGAAACTTTACAGGAATGCTAGTTCTATTATACTTTTCACTTTAAATTCTGAAACTTTACAGGAATGCTAGTTCTATTATACTTTTCACTTTAAATTCTGAAACTTTACAGGAATGCTAGTTCTATTATACTTTTCACTTTAAATTCTGAAACTTTACAGGAATGCTAGTTCTATTATACTTTTCACTTTAAATTCTGAAACTTTACAGGAATGCTAGTTCTATTATACTTTTCACTTTAAATTCTGAAACTTTACAGGAATACTAGTTCTATAATAGTTTTCAAGTTTAGTTCTGAAAAAAAATTTGTTCAGTTGTTTTAGAATGTACATTGATGTATTCTTCAGACCATCATACATCTTACATAAGGTTAAGAAAATTAGAATTATATACTAATTATTTAGGTTTAACATATTTTATTTATCTTTTCCATAGGCAATCACCTATTTACAAACTGAGGATCCCAAATTGATGAAGATATTGTTGCCAAATGTTCGAGTGTTTGCCAGAGTTGCTCCCAAACAAAAGGTGATGTATTTGAAAGATTATCAAGAATTGTTATTTTTAATCAGAATAGATCAGTATACATTATAATTAGAACTGTTCGATTAAACCCAAATATATCCAGATTGTAAACAATGTGGAAGTTTGGATATCAGAAAGCCTTTACGTATAGCTGGTTTTAAGGACAATTTGATGTATTGGGCCAACAAAATATGCGTGTGTTTGGGTTCCCTTTCTTATGATTATAAGCTTAAAGTCATTATGTTATTGTATTTTTATTATACCCCCACTTTAAAAAGTGGTTGTATACTGTTTTACCTGTGTCTGTCCGTCCATCCATCTATCTGTCTGTCAGTCCAGACAATAACTTGTGGAACGGTGTGGATGGTTAGGATTTGCTTTGGGGGGTTATGGCTCAAACCGTTTAGGAATTAGGGGCAAAAAAGGGGGAAAAACAAGGGTGTCCTGGTTAATGGACATATACTTTAGTACAATACATAATATAAAGCAGTGTAAGGGAGGTAATTCAAATACTTCATTTGAATTACCTCCCTTACACTGCTATTAAATTATGTTTAAAGTAATGGTTAATGAACAATTAAGACAATTTAAAAGCAGTGTAAGGGAGGTAATCCAAATACGTTTTGATTACCTCCCTTACACTGCTTTTAAATTATGTTTAAAGAAATGTAAATTTATAAAGGAAGACCAGTAAAAGTATCTGCAAACGTTGCATCTTTTTTTTTTTTTACAAAAAATCCATATGAAAGATTTGACACCATATTTTAAATTCTATTATAAAATAGATTAAGTTAGCACTATGGTAAATTTAAATGGGTAATTATGGTTGCAAGCTCCATTGTAAATTTGAATTGAGATTATGACCATATCTTGAGGGAAATACGCAACAGCATAGTGTATTGCACAAAAGAAAAAAAAAGGGGGGGGGGGGGGTAATTTTTTTTTTTGTGAAAGATTTGACACCATATTTTAAATTCTATTATAAAATAGATTAAGTTAGCACTATGGTAAATTTGAATGGGTAATTATGGTTGCAAACTGCATTGGAAATTTGAATTGAGATTATGACCATATCTTGAGGGAAACACGCAACAGCAAAGTATATTGCACGAAAGCAAAAAATTGATTATAAATTCAAATCATATAACCAATTCTAAGTTCTTTGACTACAGTTATTCTGTGTCAGAAACCTTTTATGTGTCAAATATTTAATAACAATCCAAATTCAGCGCGAATATTGCGTCCATTTTTGCCCCAACTGTTCAGGGTTGGACCTCTGCGGTTGTATCCAGCTGCGCTCAGCGAAGCATTTTATTTTGTTCTGTTATCACAATACTGAAAGTATTGTGTTTTCACAGTGACAATTTTCCAGTGTTATACCTGCATCTTTAACAGAAGACATTGGCATTTACAATATGTCAGTGAAAAAATGACAATGATTAATACGATAAAGATTGATTCTGTCATATAATTTGATTAAATAAGTTTGCGGTTACAACAATTGATACAAATATGTTAGGTTTAGAGCACAAAATAAGGGGAGGTACACAGTTATAAGCACCAACCTTTTACTTTACTGTAAATTCAAATATTAATTCGAGGTTTTTATTAATATGAATAATGCAAATCATTTAGTATTGCAAAAATAAGAACTTGCATTCTGATATCTGATTAAGTATCTTTATGTAGCTTTTCCTAAAATCACAATAATTAAACTTGCATTTTTGTTCATTCTTCAAAAGTTACAATAATAAATGCACACAATAATTTCTGAATTTACAGTATCTTGATTATTAGTGGTCCTAGAGAATTCAAGGACCCATTTAATCATACATAAGATATATATATGCTACCCTGTGAAGGTAACTTTGAAACAAGGATAATGTTGATGTAGACAGACCAAAAGACTATGATAGGAAATTTTTTGTGAATACGAAATATTTAAATGGGGTACATGTCCATTATTTTAAGTATGGTTTGATGTATCCCATTAATTTTGCGACACATTTTCATAATTCTGATGTTTAGATTTAATTCATGTTGTTTTTGTAGATTTTGATGATAAACTTAAATAGAAATCAAAGAAAGTTGTTGTTCTATATTTGTGACAGCAGATCTGAAGTATATTATAAAATCTATATTTTACACAAAAATACTCCAAACAAATATTGTTGATGATACATAAAAAGGATAACAGGAATTGCCAAAATTATTGGACAGCACAACAGACCACAACAACCATTAATACCTTACTCCTCAGAAAAAACTGACATTCAATTGACAAACAACAACAAACACATGGTCCAGCTAGCTCAGTGCAGGCATAAACTGTGGTAGGGTTTAACCAGTTTAAGTACACACAAACCTTAGCATTTTAAAAATAATGTAGGTGCCCTGACATGTGCACTTGGAGGTATATTTTGGTGTTTACCAAGGATATTATTAGTAAACCAAATCAATAGATATACACAATTACAATGTATATATCTCTTGTTTACAGGAAGTTGTCATAACAACTTTAAAAAGTTTGGGTTTTACAACACTCATGTGTGGAGATGGTACAAATGATGTAGGTGCCCTGAAACATGCACATGTAGGTAAGTCTTAAACAGATGATGTAGGTGCCCTGAAATATGGATTTGTATGTAAGTTGAGCACAAACTATGTTTTAATCAAAATGACCGAAATTGTGTGAAAAAATTTCAGGATCCTTGCTGTTGATGCCCTGAAATATAGACTTTTAGGCAGGCTTGATGTATATAGCTATTTGTATATATGAAGATAACCTATCTGTAAAGTCTATTTTAAATTTTTTTTGATTTTTATATCTGTTGACTTTAATATTACAATGTTTATTAAACAGAAAGATACTTGTAAATATTGTCTTATAGTTGAAACCACAAATATTTGAAACATATCAAATATAATTTTCAAGATGCCATGACAATTGTGATCTTAAAAATGAAGATTCCTTTTGCAAGTTTTTTTTTATTACTATGGTGATTTGTTTTGTTATAGGTGTTGCATTATTAGCAAATGCCCCAGAAAAGTTACCAGAGAAGAAGAAAAGGAAGTCAGAGGAGGTAATTTACTGTGTCAAAACATTATTGTTTAAATTTTGCATCATTATTAAGATTGTATTGTTTATTTTAAGTCATTACATTGGTTGCAATGAAATACTGTGATTTTACAATTGAATAAAAACCGATAATTTCACATGTGAAATAAATCCAATAATTTCAGTCATCCGACTTCATACAACAATGGGTGTTGTCAAGACTTTGTCGATAACGTTGCATCAAAACTTATATTTTATTCCCAATAAAAAGTCATTGGTCAATGCTATAAAAAGAATAGCTAATCAAAGAATTCAAATAAAAAAAATATTCAGCTCAAGACCAAACAACACTGATAATTTACTCGTGCACTATGATTTAGTTCAATCACTTGTTGAAAATTTTCCTATATTTGAATTCTTTGATTGGTTTTAACTATCAGTTCTATAACTATTTCCAATTTCCAATACTGAAATTTTTTTGTGATATACACAATGGAAAGGATATTGCATTTTAAGTCCTGACACAAAATCACTACACACATTTGACCAAAAGTACAGGATCATGGCTTTTAAGCAATTTGAAAAGGGATATTTGATTTTGCCAAATGCTTATTTGTTTAAGCATGCAAAATATATGTTTGAATATTACACAATCTATTCTTATAATGAATTTATTTATGCTTTCTTTTTACAATTACATTTTCATATTTAATAGTGAATTACAAAATGTTATTTCACTTTGTTATTAATTTTATATGTTGATAATAATAATAGCAATTCTTGGTTCAGTTATAGTTTTTATACGGCCTCAAAAATTTTTGCGGTCGTATATTGGTATGACGTTGGCGTCGTCGTCGTCCGGCATCGTCCTGCGTCGTCCAAGACACAATGGTTTTTCGCACTCTAACTTTAGTTTAAGTCAATGGATCTCTTTGAAATTTTACCATAAGGTTCAATACCACAAAAGGAAGGTTAGGATTGATTTTGGGGGTTATGGTACCAACAGTTAAGGAATTAGGGGCCAAAAATAAGCGTTTTTGTAACTTCCAGACATAACTTGTGTGTTAGTGTATGGATCTCTCTGACATTGTACCACAAGGTTCCATATCACAAAGGGAATGCTGGGATTGATTTTGGGGATAATTGCCTCAAAATATTAGGAACTAGGGGCCAAAAAAGGGGCAAAAAACAAGCATTTTTCTAGTTTCATGACAATAACTTGTGTGAAAGTGTATGGATCTTTCTGAAATTGTACTACAAGGTTCCATATCACAAAGGGAAAGCTGGAATTGAGTTTGGGGGTAATTGCCCAAAACGTTTAGGAATTGGGGGCCAAAAAGGGGCCAAAAAACACATTTTTCTAGTTTCCAGACAATAACTTGTGTTCAAGTGTATGGATCTCTCTGAAATTGTACTGCAAGGTGCTATACCACAAAGGGAAGGCTGGGATTGAGTTTGGGGGTGATGAATCATAAGGGGGTTCAAAAAATTTGAGGGGAGGGTTTTTTTTTTTTTTTCTTTTTTTTCTTTTTTTCCTTTTTTTTTTCTTTTAAAATTTTCCATTTTAAGTTGGTTATTTCTGATTTATATTTAAAAGCAAATAATAATGATATGGTAGGAGATACACACCAAACAGGATGTGTAAATTATTATATAATAAGTATTATGCAATAGCAAGAAATTTTCAATTGCACAGTATTGCACAATAGCAAGAAATCTTCAATTGCACAGTATTGCGCAATAGCAAGAAATCTTCAATTGCACAGTATTGCGCAATAGCAAGAAATACCCAATAGCACAATATTGCGCAATAGCAAGAAATATTTAATTGCACAGTATTGTGCAAAAGAAGATACTTCGTATAAATTGCTTATTTCTTGACCAATTTCAATGGGGTTTTATTCTTGAATTCTTGGGGTTGTTTAATATGCTGAATCTAACCGTGTATTGAGTTTTTGGATTTTGGGCCCCGTTTTTAAATTGGTCCACATTGAGGTCCAAAGGGTCCAAAATTAAACTTTGTTTGAATTCATCAAAAATTGAATTATTGGGGTTCTTTGATATGCCGAATCTAACCGTGTATTTAGATTCTTAATTTTTGGTTCAGTTTTCAAATTGGTCTACATTAAGGTCCAAAGGGTCCAAAATTAAACTTAGTTTGATTTTAACAAAAATTGAATTCTTAGGGTTCTTTGATATGCTGAATCTAAACATGTACTTAGATTTTTGATTATGGGCCCAGTTTTCAAGTTGGTCCAAATCAGGGTCCAAAATTAAACTTTGTTTGATTTCAACAAAAATTGAATATATGGGGTTCTTTGATATGCTGAATCTAACCATGTATTTAGATTTTTGATTTTTGGGCCCCGTTATCAACTTTGTCCACATTGAGGTCAAAAGGGTCCAAAATTAAACTTTGTTTGATTTCATCAAAAATTGAATTCTTGGGGGTCTTTGATATGCTGAATCTAACCATGTATTTAGATTTTGGATATTGGATCATAATAGGTGAATGTCCAATTTAAAATTTTTAAGTTCTTAGACCACATTCATTCTGTGTCAGAAACCTATGCTGTGTCAAATATTTAATCACAATCCAAATTCAGAGCTGTATCAAGCTTGAATGTTGTGTCCATACTTGCCCCAACTCTTCAGGGTTCGACCTCTGCGGTGGTATCAAGCTGCGCCCTGCAGAGCATTTTATTTTAAACTTTTATGTGTATATGAAATATGGATGTATTTAAATTTTGAAGGATGGTGAAGCCAATCACACAATGAATGACAGAGCTGGACCATCTACAATGAAAGGAAAACCAGGTGGCAGAGTAGCAAAACAGAGAGCAATTGCAAGGGGAGATAACTTGGCTCCAACACAGGTAAAAAAGATCAAAAAAACATCTGTAAAAAAAAATTGGATGTAGCAACATCTATAATATCATGTTAACGATGCTGTGATTCAGTGGTTGTCATTTGTTGCTGTATATCACACATAAATCAGGCGTTGAATTTTCTCGTTTGAATTGTTTTACATTTGTCATTTCGGGGCCTTATAGCTTACTATGCGGTATGGGTTTTGTTCATTGTTGAAGGCTGTACAGTGGCCTATAGTTGTTATAGTCTATGTTCTTTGATCTCTGGTGGAGAGTTGTTTCATTGGCAATGATACCACATCTTCTTATTTTTAGATTAACATTTTTTACTTATTAGGGTAAAATTGTTGCTTTCATCCGACTACATGTATATCATTTATTTCTGAAACAGCCCTTAACATAACTTTGATAAGATTGAAGGATTAACTTTTTTTGCAATTTAAGGGAACAAATAATGGCTTTCATAACCCCCTCTTTTGTATGGGATACTTCTTATAATAAACACAAGTTAAAACCTGTCAGACTGAAATAATTTGTAGACTACTTGGTAACCCCTCTTTGAAAATTTTATGTGATATATTACTGGATTATAACTCTATCTTGCAAAACGATAATGAAATTATGCTTGTTTAATTTAACAGAAAAAGTTGGCTAACATGATGAAAGAATTGGAAGAAGATGAGAAAGCTCAAGTTGTCAAGTTAGGAGATGCTAGCATAGCTTCACCATTCACATCAAAGTTATCAACAACTACATGTGGTAGGTAATAAAGAGAGATGCTAGCATAGCTTCACCATTCACATCTAAATTATCAACAACTACATGTGGTAGGTAATATAAAGAGATGCTAGCATAGCTTCACCATTCACATCTAAATTATCAACAACTACATGTGGTAGGTAATAAAGAGAGATGCTAGCATAGCTTCACCATTCACATCTAAATTATCAACAACTACATGTGGTAGGTAATATAGAGAGATGCTAGCATAGCTTCACCATTTACATCCAAATTATCAACAACTACATGTGGTAGGTAATATAGAGAGATGCTAGCATAGCTTCACCATTCACATCAAAGTTATCAACAACTACATGTGGTAGGTAATATAAAGAGATGCTAGCATAGTTTTACCTCTTTTACATACATGTAGAGTTAACAACAATATCCTGATAATTATGATTTTTATCAACTAAAGTTAGTACTGTTTGAACTCTGAAGAGTTGATGGGGATGTTTAATGGTTGAAATAAACTATTAGAATCTGTTTCTTTACTGAAAAGCAACCCCTAATTTTATAGTTTGACCTTAAGAGACTTAAATTCCCCCCCCCCCCCCCCCCCCCCCCCCCCAAAAAAAATCACAATGCATAAAATTTATAATAATCTAAACAGAAAGTCAACAGGCTTGTAGCAATTTAGAATTTGCCATACGTTGATGGCACTTTTGAATAAAAGGAGACGTGTGGTGCCATGTATGAAAATGAGACAGGAACCCAAATACAAAAAAAAGCCAAAATACATTTAGAGGGCAACTTACAGTCTTCAACAGCTGACAGGTGTAAATACAATATTTCAAGCTCTTAATTGTGCTCAGTTTCCAAAAGCTGTAATAAATTACACAGAATCTATTAAAGACTTATTTTAGGCACACTTGAGTTAATTGACATTTACCCAACATGTATGTGTATATACACAAATGTTTTTTTTCAGTTTGCCATATAATCAAGCAAGGTAGATGTACGTTAGTGACAACATTACAGATGTTTAAGATCCTAGCACTGAATGCATTAGTCTTAGCCTACAGCCAGAGTGTTCTATATTTAGATGGTATAAAATTCAGCGATAGTCAGGCTACCATGCAAGGATTGCTGCTAGCTGGCTGTTTCTTATTTATATCAAGGTCAAAGGTTAGTATATAGTACAAATATCAGTTATAAAAACCCAACCTGGCATTGTTTGTAATTCAATTCACATCGAAGATTTGTATGTGTTATAAGATTCAGCAATAGTCATCTGCTAGTTCAATAGGTTGTTTCCTTTTTATGTCTTGGTCAAAGTTCAGTAACTTTCAAATTGTATAAAACTGATAAATTTTGATATATGATGTACATGTATCATATGGTTTTATTTATTTTTGCAAAACTGATTTTCACTAAGGCCACCTTTTTATAATTATGTTGAAGGTCAGTATAATGACTTTAATTAGTTGTGTATGTACGAATACCGGAATTTTAATTAACTTTTATATGACATCTCTACAACTACAGTCTTCAAAAATTAAAACCTTAAGCATATATTAACTATTATGCAAAAAATTAATCACTTAATTTTCATTTTCATTTTCATCGTATATCAGGTTATTTTCATGTCAGTATAAACAAAAAGAAGATGTGGTATGATTGACAATGAGACAACTCTCCACCAGAGACTATCTGGAGTAGAAGTTAGGTCTTGTTCATGGTTGGGGCCTTAGAAGGAACAGTTAAATCTTTGCCATGTTCACAGTTTGTATTTCATTGCTTTGAACAATAGATTTAAATGGACATTGAAATGTTTGGGCAGAGTAAATCTTGTGGTAAAATGGTTATCACTAACTAAGGAATAAACACACAAAAATTTCCTAATATAACTGGTACATTTCTTTAATATTTGAATACTTGGTAAGAATGTTAATATATTTATTTTTCAGCCATTGAAGACATTATCAAAGGAGAGACCTTTACCAAATATATTTAATTTCTACACACTTTTGACAGTGTTATTACAGTTTGCAGTACATTTTACATGTTTAGTATATTTAGTACAGGGAGCAAAAGCCCTGACACCACCAAGGTAACATTAATTGTGCCATTATTTAAAAATACATATAAGAAAAATAGTATGAAAATAAAGCAATGTAATATTATTGCACATGAGACCACTATCTTTCAGAGACTAAAGGACATGGATTTAAGCAACTATTGGTCACTGTACATCAATGATAAAAAACTATAGTGTATAGTAAGCTAAAAAAAAACTGGCATTTCAAAAGGTGGAATAATTCAAACACAAAAACCAAAGGCCTGATATTTGATAAAACAAAAAAAAAACAACAATCAAATCTGGCGAGCAGCAACAATCGACAATCCCTGGCTCTCGACTTGGCACTGGCAAACAAAGAATTATGTGGTGTTAATCATGTTTGTTCAGCACTTAACTGTCCCCTAATCTGGAACAGTGGTGTAACATAAGAGCAACCTAAGGCTTTGACTTGTTAGATCAAAGAAAGAAGCATCAAACACTAATTTTGGAATTAGGTTGCAAAATATTGTCTACTTGCTTCTTAGTTTGACTTGGTGTTGATGTTTTTTGTGAAATCAAGATGCTTATAATTTGATATTTGATAGCTATTTACTTTTGTGAATTGTCTTACAGTAATGGCTTCATGCTATAGAGTTAGATGCATATAATTAAATTAAATTGTTTTTTATTTTTGTTTTGACAGTGAAGATGAATTTGTAGATTTAGAAAGGAAATTTTCTCCTAGTATATTAAATACAACAGTATATATTATATCTATGGCATTACAAGTGTCCACATTTGCTGTTAATTATAGGGTAAGTAAAAAGTAAAAATAAAAGGAGACCATCACCACACTTGATACAGTTGAACCTTTTCATGTCAAAGTAGTCATCTGAGGTCATGAGTTTTATTTACCAGTTCCATTAGTACACTTTGTTTTGTTAGCTGAGTACGTTTGATCTTGAAAACATGTAATATTCCAATCCATCTCAATTGATAATATATTTAAAAATAAATCTTTTAAACGGAAACTAATTAACAAAAATAATGATACATATATGTTTGAAAATTTCCCAATAATGATTTTCCTTTCCAGATAGAGCACCCCATTTTGCTGCCAAGTGGTGAAATTCAGTGTATAGTTTTGAAATCACTTTAAAATATTAATTTTAATTCTAATGATTCTTTCTTCTTTTATCAACCTTTAGTTTGTTCTGTTATTATCTTGGAGGTAAAATGTGTTAAACAAATCTTTAAAGGTGTTGACAAACAAAGACATGCCATTCTGATTTTTAGAAAAACATATTAATTGACATGTTATTATTTAAGGTCACTCATTTGGATGTACATTGATAATAACATCTGATTGAATAGTTGACATAACATTTTAAACTTGAAATCATGTACTGTGAATTCATTATTATGCCTCGAATACCAATTTACGTGGATTTCATTGGTATAAGTGAACCACAAATTGTAAAGTTTTATAAATATAATTCGAATATAATATGACAACCTATATATCGTCAACCAGTATAATCACAGTATATCTACTTTTAGAACAAACTCAGTAATACACAAAATTGGCTGTTCCGTGTTACGCCTACCTTATGTATATGACCAGGTAAACTCAAATTGCGACAGAAAAAACCCACGTTTTAGGTAGGCCAAGCTTCAAATACAATACTGTTATCTCAATTCTAATACAAAATAAACAAATCATTTTATTACAGTAATTATTTTGATGTTAAATTTCATAAAAGGAAAATTCAGAGAAATGATGTTAGTGTCTTTGGCAATTAACAAGATGACGTCATATGTATGCTTCTGGCTTCATATGTAAACACAGACTGTTATCAGGCTTCTTGTAGGCCTCAAAATGTATTAAATTTGATAAAAAGAACAATTTTAGGTGAAAATGTGATTTTTAAAAATTATTATTGAGTAAGATAATATTTTTAATATTATTAGACTTTCTAGTAAAATGGAACAGCCAAAGCAGTATCGTGTGTATAGGGCTATCATGGTTGACAAAATTACTGTATTTGTCCTATTAGAATCAAAATAATTCATGGCAGCTGTAGATTTTTGTATTTTACCACTCGCTATTGCTCGGAATAAAATAATTGAATATAAATGCCCAACTCATGGTTAAATGAAAACAAATCTACAGCTGCCATCAATTATCTTAAATTTTCTATAGGCGTGTATGCAGACTTTGGCTAAACCATGAAATCAAATATCCATGAAAATAACAATTTTTCCTCAATCCTCGAAAATTGAAACCAACGAAAATATATGAGTCTGTAGAATTGCTTTCCTTCAAAATAGCAAATGAGACATCATCAAAAGAAAACCAAGTTATTGTTGATTTATTATTATTCATTGGGGTTCTGATTTTCATGGATTTCACAAGTTTTTTTTTATGAATTTGATTTTAGTTAGAATGAAATAAGGATACTATTTAGGTACCATCAAATATTAAATACTGCAAATTCAGAAATTATTGTGTGCATTTATTATTGCAATTGGATAAAAATGCGAGATTAATTATTGCGATTTCAGGTAAATCTGCTTAAAGATATATGTATTATATATCAGAATGAGAGTTCACATTATTGCAATACTCACTCAGTTGCATTATTTGCATTAATAAAAACCTGGCAATAATTTCTGAATTTACAGTACCGGAATAGATTACACATATTTGCATATCATAGTATCAAACATTAATACATGTATACCATTTTAAGTTCCTTACATAAACGGGTATTTGCAGAATTCATGGAAAGCAATAGAAACAAATGATAATTAAATAAAATTTTATAAGTGGAAGCATTTGTATTTATTTTACAGGGGCAACCATTCATGGAAAGTCTAACAGAAAACAAACCATTATTATATAGTCTTGTATTTTCTGGAGGAGCAATTACAGCCTTGGCGAGTGGTACTGTTCCAGAACTTACAGAACAATTTGAACTAGTCGAATTACCAACAGAGGTAAGTCAGGATAAAGATATTTTGAGCTTATCATTTAAAAATTGTTAGAAAATTAGGGTAAAGATATTTCCCAAAACCGAGCCATTTTATAATATATATAAGTCAGATTAAGATGTCTGTCAGAGACCAGTTTCATTTAGTATAAAGGTTAGAAATTGACTGTAGTAAGTAACCATTGCAAAAACACCAGGGATTCATTGACAGTTTGATGGTTATTATAATCAAAAAGATCATCATTTAAGTGCCAATTTGCCTAAGAATCAGGCAGTGGTGAAAGCATGACAAACAAAAACCCGATCAAGTAAACATTAATTTTAAGTTCAAAATGTATAATGGTGCAATAACATAACATTCGTTTCCTTTTCCTGATCTAGGAATTCAAGATATAATTTGGTTGAAATGCACTAGAAATTAACAATTAAGGGGAGCTAACTGCGTAATTTCCTATTATTCTAACCAAAAGTTATCTGTGGATTTCTCGAATTATCAGACACTCAGAAACGGAAGACCTACTATTTCTTACTCAGGATGAGGGTAACTTCAAAATAGGATGGTTAGGTCGGTGGGTTTTTTCTGCCATGTTTTGAAATTCTGTTAAATTGCCTGATTCTTACAAAGACTGGCACTTAAAAACAAACTAAACAAATCACATGTTCTATAAAATATACACCACATACTTGTTACCTTCAAAGTAGCTATAGTATAAGCTGTGTTTTTTTTATTATTCTCTTGTTTTTCTAAGTTTTTGTGATGTGTGGGATTTATCAACTACAAACCATATGTTTATAAACAGTCTTTGGTATCAAATGACATGGTATACATTTTCTTTTACAGTTTAGAAATACAGTTTTACAGATATTAGCAGCTGACATTCTAGGATCCTTCCTTATAGACAGAATAATGCGATTCTTGTTTGGAAAGGGACATCTACGATCAACTTGAGATTTGTTCAGTGTAGTCAATGGTGCTTGCTCAAAAAAAATGAATTACTTGGAAATTCATATTCTGTTGACAAAACCTCTTGACAGTTATAGTATACATATAAAAAAAAATACCATCATGGAATTGCAATATTAAAATGAAATATTTTATACATTTTTTGTGGAGAAGACACTATACTTTTTTTCTATTTTGATTATTGCTCGTTTATAAAAACCATTCAGCCTGCCAGCTTGCAAGAGATGGGTGTCATGTTGAAAAAACTTGAAACCAAAAAAATAAGTACAGCAGATTTCTATTATATTGTTGTACAGTTTGTTGGATTAATTTTTGTGGATTTTGTTGAAATACAGGAAGCATTTAGTTACAAAAAATATTATTTACAAAAGATAGACATTTTTGTCCTGAAAACCATGAAATCAAGTTTTCAAGAAAGCACAATACGCTCGATCCACAAAAATTGGTTCTCTACGAAAAATAACTCAATATTTTATTGTCTCTTTGGACTTTAATACTATAAAAAGATACTACGTACATAAATTTCCTTAGTGCCTGTAACTTATTAAAATGCTGCAATATTCATTTTTAGCAAAACCATTTTCATTGCTCATTATTTTTGCACCACTTGCCCCCATACTTTTTAATGTACCAGTATATTTTAAACAAATTGAAAGTTCTTAAGTAGTAAAAACCTCTTGAAATCTCCCACAAATTAAATTTAAAAAAAATTATTATAAATCTATCAAATAATATCCTTCACAAGACAGTCTGTCAGATGACAGTATTTATACCTTTCCATTGTGTTTAACATACATGCTTTAGGGCTTCACACTTCTTGTATTTAATGCAAAATTGCTATACTGCAAAATTGGCCTCCTTTTTAGATCTTATGAAATATTTAGATATGTGCCAAGGCTTTACCTAAAAGATATTTTGATACAAGTTATATTAATAAGATGTTGATGTGGGTAAAATCTCTTTTTGGGTAAGCCTTGGCTCAATTAGCTTAATTTTATCAAAGCTATGTATACAATAACAATTTAAGGTAAAATATGTTAATTTCTTTATGACATCACTGATCTTTCTTTATTTATAAAGTTTCCCATTTTAAATAAATGTTTGTTATTTTAAATAAAACTAATACAATTTGAAAAAAATGAAGAATTTTACATTTTTTTAATTTCAGACGCTTGATAATGGCTCTTATCATACCTACTTCTCTATAAGATGAATATTTCTAAAGTTTATGATAACATTTGTTTGGATAATACACTGAGGGCTTTTCAAATAATTATGTGGTCAATTATATATATAGTCACCATACTTTAATCCAAATGGTTTATATATATTATAAGTAAACAAATTTTAGGACCTTTGGCGAAAAACAGCATAAATTTGAATAACTACCAAAACTGATGATTAGTGTATTTTTTCTGAAGTTCAAGTTTTAGCCAAAGTTTTCTCAAGAGATAACAATTTTTTTACTGGATGACTGAAAAAAAAAAATGGTTATAGATTGTTTAATATTAATTTTTTTTATTCTTCATTCCAAACCCCTTACAACTATAATGATTTGCTTACCTTATTAATCCTTTGATTGCAAAACAGTTTTTTTTTTACTGAGTCACCAGAAATGATACATATACTTATTTGTTTTAACTGACAGAAATGCTTTTTTTTATATTTTCATAACGAAAATATATAAATACAAGTACATCATACAAATTTGCCTGTAACTTTTCTGTCAAGAGTGGGAGAAATGGTATCATTTATTATTGCCTGATAACATATTTTTAAAAATCGTAATGTATTGTTTATGAATTTATTTATTGTATTGTCAACAATGTATAATTTCATATTGAAATCTCAAAATAAAACCAGAAGTATACACTGTCTTGTTATTTAAAGGTATGAGATTGCTGTCTGTTCCCCCATGGCTATATTGCCTGGGAATATAGGTCAATAGATAGTTCTCAGATGATGAGTTATTTCCCTTTGCTGCCATGTTAGAGAGCAAATAGGTTGATTTTCTTTTTTGACTAGCCTAATTAAACAAGGAAGATTGATAAAGATCCTTAGTAGATTATAGTGATGAATTATACAATGCTTATACAAATAAAAATTGTCCAACAACTTCTACTAAGGTCTAGCAATCAGTATTACAAGTTTTAAATTTGGTTGATTTATGATGGCAAAGGGAAATAACTCCAACTTATATTATGGAAATATCAAGTGTCCATAACCATCAATTGTTCAGTTTTATGGACTAGATCTTTTAATTTTTAGACTTGCTCCTGCGGTGTTCAGATCTGTAGTGTCTAATATTTTGATATGGTTTTCAAAATAAAGAAGAGACTCCAAGGATCCTGCATAAAATTAAAATCACATGGAATTTTTGCATAAATTGATTCAGTGCAATATTAGAGAATATTTCCTCTAGTTTCTTGCAAAAAAGCACAAAAATGGAAAAAAATATAATTCAGGGGCAATAATTCCTATACATAGTCAGCTGATGTTTCAACCATATTGACATATTTGTAGATCTTATTGTGCTGATTATTTTGGTCTATAGGTTTTCTCTCTTTGTTCTGCAAAAAAATACACCTAAAAATTGGTAAAAACTATCAACTACAGTTTCTGCAAAAAAAAAAAACCCCACTTAAATGGGTAAAAAACCGTTATGTATTTCAAGTGCAATAATTTGCAATAGGAGAGGAATGATGATTTTAGTCAATAGACTTACTTGTTACTTGTAGATCTTCTGATCAAATTAGCAATTTTCTGTTTTTTTTTATATCGACTATAGTTTCTAGATAATACACAAATATGGGTAAAAATCCTTCAATGGCAATAACTCTTACAGGGGTTAAACTGATAATTTCGGCTTTGTCGACTTATTTGAAGATCTTGTTCTGTTGATCATTTTTGCTACATGTATGTACGGTTTCTATCTACTATTGCTTCCGTGAAAAAAACACAAAATCCTCATTCAAAGGCAATAACTATTTTCAAAGAGTCTCTAACATTTAGGCCATGTGTACTTATCAGTAGATCTTGCTATGCTGGTTATTTTTGCTTTTTACAAACTCTACCTAGCTTTGGGCCAGGTGAGTTAAAAAGACAGTTTAACCACTTATCTTAGACAAAGAAAGACTATAAATATATTTTTCCTGTAGAGAAAATAGAACCATTAGTATAGATCTGAAATCAACACTAAATTCCCAAAATGACTATAAATACAAAAATAGAACAAAAGGCATTCACTGAAAAGGCTCTAGACTTAAGACGGGCATGATGACGAAAATTTGCCTTGTACAACGATGAGTGCTGTAAAATTTCAATCTATTGGCAAACAGGAATGACTGAAAAGCAAATGTAAAATTTGCTTACATGTACAAATTTATTGTATGCCGACACCTTATTAAGATTCTGTCTGTCATATGTCCATTGTCCTTGACATTATTTTCATGGGGTAGAGATTGCTAGAATTTTTTTTAGTTTTATCATGTAAATATCTCACTTATGAGTAATAGGGTAACTATATATGGTATATTTTGCAACATTTCCATGTCCATCAGACAGGGTTCACCTGACCTAGACCTTATTTCATTGATCAGTGATTAAGGTTAAAGTAACAGGATTAGGTCAGTTTCTCAGATACTATAAGCAGTGGGTCAACCATATGAATTGAATTGAATTACTGTAAAGAGTACATGTCAGTCTGGCATGTTTCATTTGACCTTGACCTCATTTTCGTGGTTGTTGGTCTGTTTAGTTTACCTGGTTAATTCTCTTTCTTAGATACTATAAGCAAAAGGTTAACTATATTTGGTGTAAAAAATGATTGTAAGGTGTACATGTCCATCTGATATGTATCACCTGACCTTGACCTCATTTTCATAGTTCATTAGTTAATGTTACATTTTTAGTGTTTGGATTTTATCTTTGATACATGTACTATAAGCAAAAGGTCAATTATATTTGGTGTATACTATGATTGTAAGGTGTGAATGTCTGTCTGCCAGGGTTAATCTGACCTTGATCTTTGTCATCAATCATTGGTAATGTTTAGTTTATATGATACTTGTAGAAAAAACCCTTTCAACATTGTCAATTAAATATTATGGTCAGTAAAGCAGGTAAAACATTTCAGCATGTGCACTCTTGTTAATCAAGAAATCTTATAGCAGTGATGTTGTACAAAAATACAGAAAGTGGTTTTGAGCTAAAGAAATCAAACAAACAAACCTGCTGTTGGACAGATTTTCGATTTCAGTCACTTAAACCATTCAATAATCATGTTCTAGAGATGTAATATAACAAATACAACAGTATGTATCAGTTTTATTTTTATGTTCAAAATATCATACAAAACCTGGTATCCAACATACAGAGACTTTAACACTGTGTACTGTGCCTCAATAAATAAATAAACTTTCCACAGCTAATTTTATTAAAAAAGAGTCCTAAGATGTCCATAATCTTGGTAGCTGTTAATAAATTTGAAAAATTCTTGTATTTCAGTGTTAAGATCTCTTGTTGTTTACCATTAAATATCAGTCAACATAAAAATATATATATAAATACAATGAACAAATGTGTTATTATTTGTCATACAAAAAATTGAGAAAAAGACAAATGTAAATATGTTCCTTAATAAAACCAAGAAAAGGATTTTTTGTTTGTTTTTATTTTTACAACTTCTTGGAATGATACACAAGATGCAATATGTTTATGTTTCCGATTCAAATACGAAAAAAAAGTCAATGTCGAGATTTATATATTTATCCATTCATTTTTACAAATTCCTTATTTATTTTTATTTTCCTTTTACAAAACCATAAATAAATTCATTGAAAAATCTTTAGTGTTGAATTGCAGAATCATTTTTTTTTTCAAAAAGATCTTGGACCACCGTTGCTATCTATCAATTGAAAGAGAAAATTACAGGTGCATGTACATTTCAAACTTATGTGCAATTACCATTCCCTGGGAGTGCATGGAAGAAAGTATAAATATCACAGGATTGTAGAAAGCACTCTGTATAGCACAAATCAGACTAAAGTACTACTGACGGGGCAAAGACAGCCTGAAATACATGACCTTCAGCAACAGTGAAAACTTCACACAGTGTAAGAGTTCTACTACTAAACATGTACATGTATTCAAGGACCACTGAAATATGAACAAAACAGATGATTGGAATGTCAGTAATGTGTACAATTCACCATTCAGAATCTAAAGGACTATGGGTAATTTCATTGTTTGTACTCCAAATTCAAAACAACGACACACTATTGGTTGAATTTCATTGTTAAGGACCTTGTTAGCCAATCACAACGTTTTGGTGTACCCTTTTGAAAATATTACCCAGAATGCATTAGATTCTGAATCGACAAATTGACAATTTTCTGTGTTATTAAATAGTATGTGTATTCAAGGCATAGAAGAACAGAAACAGTTCCATTTTCTTGCTGCAAACACTAAGCTTTGAATTAAACACATTTTATTTAAATTTCAGTTTTAAAATATAAAATTGTTCAGCCCCACTTATTTTATATGCACATTTTGTACATGTATGCATTAGTACTAGTATTCTATTTTTTTCTTCTTAAGGCACATTTAGTCAATTACCACTTCTCAAATAATCAAGTCCAGATTTCATGAGTTAAAATGTTTTAAAAAAAATTGTATCAAAATTTTAGGATGCCAAAGCTCACAAGTTTACACAGAACGACTTTAAAAAAAAATGTATAAAAAATAATGTATAATTGTCATGACTTATTAGAATGGTGAAAACAATCGTCAATGCTGTGTGAGATATCACCCTAATGTTAAAAGCTCAAAGATAGTTATATAAACAGCTGATGTGTCTATGAGACCTGGGAATGGACTCTGGTGCTCTGCCCTCCTTTGTCCTTAAGAGTATGGGATTCTCGTTTTAATACATTCAGTAAGGTCTGTGAACTCTCCAAAATCTGTAATACAAAAAGTAAATATTTTTGTTAATTTATGAACAAAGAATAACTAAATTACACAAAACATGTATTGAAATTATGCTATATTTGTTACAGTAACTTTAGGCTCTGTAATGATGATCTGATTATCATATATAATTGCTTATTGAAAATTGATTGATTATAATTGAAAATCAAAGTCGAGAATGCAGCCCGATCCGATTATTCAAATTAATTGATTATAGTTTTGAATTCAATTCCCAACACTACTTTAGAAGTGAATTTTCTTCTTTATTGTTGCCTAGTTTCAAGTTTGAAATTAATATTATATTTCATATATAAACTTTTGAAATGATTAAACAGGAATTAAAATAATAATCCTTGTGCTGGCCCCTGATACACAGATTTTTTATGGGTCAGTCTGACCCAAACATTATTTGAACAGTTGGATGGGACAAGTAACTTTCCTGAAATTCTTACAATAAAAATGGCTTAATTTTTTTTTATTAAAAGCTTCTTCATTTATTAGAAGAATTTGCATTCAAAGTGAAATGGACTACATCTTATTTTTAACCATCATTAAAGAATAGAAAATATTTCACTTTGAAACAGAAATAAAGTCATACAAATTAAAACTGAACACTGATTTTTTGTTTAAAATCTGCAACAGTTATGATGCATCTAAACAAACTTAAACCTCTAATCTTAAATTTATTTCTTCAAAATAAACTACTATGTATATAATTACTTATTTAAAGATATTTTTCAACATTAACATGCACAAAGAGTTTCCATTGATACCCTCCTTTACAACTTGTCATACTGACATAATTTAAAATAATACAATTGTGTATTGACAACTATCTTTAGATCAATCAAGCAACCATATCATGATCAATTACATTCAGTACAATATTATACTACATTTAAATGAAATTAACACATTGTTTTAAAACAAAATCTTTCTTCTGTTCGACTGCACTTAGAAAATTTTGATTTTTAAACCTATTTGTATTTTATAAACACTTGATACATTTGTATGATTAAATAAAAACATAAGCTGACTTGTGAATTACAAGATTCACTGGTTGTGGTAAAGTAAAAATCAAATTATGTACATGTATTTATATGTGCATGTATAAATAACAGTTGCTCATAAAAAGTACATGTACCAATAAAATCCAAACAAAAATTATCATATATAAAAAAAAACAATCCTATTTGAGTTGTAGAAGTGGTTGACCTCAGTAAAACCAAATCTTGATAGATATTTATACTCTACATCTCTTTTTATTCATACATATATTTTAGACAACACAAATAGTATGTGAATTTTTTATAAAACAAACATGTCTAAATTTTAGTATTTGCATAACTAATCTGATTAAAAAAAGATCCTGTTTACACCCTTTACTTTAAATCTGACCATGCTCCATACAAGACCTACTTCTAGTGTCTGTTTTGAAGACCTTGTTGATATATTAGGGTTTTGACGTAAATTGACACACACTCATGAAATCTTATTAAATTTCGAGGCAAAAATTTCAATGGTTGACATAATTATAAGAACAGAAAGTAGAATGGAACATTGTCAGATTCTTGCAAGCTTAGAGTGAACACTATCTGGAATCAAGGAAACATCCTCTGTATTCCAATCAGATTGTTTTCATAACGAAATTAAATATAAATAAGAAGATATGGTATGAGTGCCAATGAGACAACTCTCAATCCAAGTCACAAAAATTTGTAAAAGTAAATCATTATAGGTCAAAGTACGGCCTTCAACATAGAGTCTTGGCTCACACCGAACAGCAAGCTATAAAGGGCCCGAAAAATGACTAACTAGTGTAAAACCATTCAAACAGGAAAACCAACGGTCTAATCTATATAAAAAATGAGAAATGAGAAACACTTATGAACCACATCAACAAACAACAACCACTGAACATCAGGTTCCTGACTTAGGACAGGTGTAAACAAATTCAGCAGGTTTAAATGTTTTAATAGGCGCCAACCTTCACCCTACCTGAAACAATAGTGTAACATCACAACATAGAAAGATACACTATAAAATATCAATTGAAAAGCTTATAACTCAATCAAAAGACATATATATTAAATGCAAACTTTCAATAGCCTGAACACATATATTAAACTCTGGTATACATGTAGGGCTATGGCTCACTGTGCAGTTTGCAAATCAGACAGCAAAATACAAAAACAAGACAATCCAAATTGTATACCTTCATATATGCTGATTCAGTTTCAGCGATAGTCTTATCAAATTCATTTCTGGAACTCATCTTTTTACTTAGACTTTCATTGACTTTAGCTAATCGCTCTGTTAGGATTCTAATGTCATTTTGTAATTTTTGTTTCTCCTCCTCTTCTTGAAGAATTTGTTTATGGAGATCATCCCTCTTTTGACAGAGGTCATTTATACCTGAAATATAAAGAAAAATTTGCTGGTGATATTCAAATAATTTCTTAGACAAGATCAAGCTCAAAAGGAAGCAATCTCAAAAAAAAAGAAGTAAATTTTATTCAATTTTTCAATATATACATTTTCTTCCCTCCAAGGCCCAAGAATTCAGATAGGAATGGTGAATAAATTAGTCTGGCACATTGTATCTCTAAAGTCAGGATTTTTTTCTGTTAATTTTGTGATGTATTAATGTACATAACATCCATAATATGAACACTGATCATCATAGATCAGGGTTGGCAAAAACCCGGATTTATGAGTATTGCCCAGCCCAGTGGGAAATACTGGGAAAACCGTATGGTCCCTGACACAAGTATTCATTGTATATATGATATATGATACATGTATCTCTAAAGTAAAACTAATACTGATTGAACAGACACAGAAGTCTATTTTACAATTTAAGTGTCTTGACAGTTGTCTGTCCCAGTCATGCCAGTTAAAGCATTTGTAACAACATGAACAAAGGGACATTTCATCTCTCCAAAAATGCTATTTTCATGAATGTGTGGTCATGGTGGTCATTGCACCATTACACTGTTTATCAGTACATGTACATTACTTTTGTATTTTCTCAGCAATAGTTGACAATAGATTTTCTCAGTTTATGTGTACTTATATACTTTACAAGGTGCAAATAATTAGGTGTTTAAGTAAAAAATAACTCTAGCTAGCTAGCTGTTGACTCAATCACTGATAAAAGGGTGAGTGCTCACTGCTGGTAACTTGAACTGATTTATCACCCTATCATATAAAACATACATCATTACATGTACGTAGCTTATACATGTATATGAACAGAGAGATATTTCAGATATATACAGCAGTGGTCTCATTAGCGACGCTTGTATAGGGTATATTGGGATACGGGATATTTGCCATTTTAATTTTAGGGATACGGGATATTTGTCCTAAAAATAAATGGGATATGGGATATTGGTGCATTTTTAGGGATATTGAATTTTGAAAATGAAAAATGAAAAAAAAATGAGAAAATTAAAAGTTAAGTACAGAAACATTTACATCTCACTTGATAAAATTGCCAAAAAAATTTTCTAGAAAAAGTTATTCAAGTGCTTTGTTGATTTTCATTGAGTTTTGTTATTATAAAACACCCATGCAACCACGCATTCCAAATTGCATGATAGGACCCTACACGTACTATTGCTCACTATTTTAATGTTTCAGCAGTTAAAGCTTGGGATTAGAGGCTCTGGCTTGGGATGGTCATTTTAGATGCATTATTTTAATATAATCAAATATGAAAATTATTCATGTATATATTGATATATTTATATTTTAATTCTTCACCAATAGGTCTAGTTATTATGACAGATCTGCCATCATCAGGGGTCCAACTGTCAATTTTATGTTAAAGTCTTCAACTTTGATCTACTAAGCATATCTCCAACACTTTTATGTTTGCTATACGCAACTATTGGTGCAGCATTGAATATTTATACACAATCTTCGTCAAACTGTAATAAATGCCCGTTTCTTTATTTTACGTATATATATATATATATATATATATATTGATATATTTATATTTTAATTCTTCACCAATATATATATATATGGGTTATATTAGTTATCAAAACTAACAGAATATTTTCTTTTTCCTTCGATTTATCAGTTTTTCTGTAATCATTCAGTACGGTCAATTGATAAAGCATCAGTAATACTATCATCTATTTCGAGGTTATCATAACCCCTATCTAATAATAAAACAGGTCAAGAATGCCATGTGTTGTAAATCTTGGACCTTTAATTACATGAACATCTAAGAACGACATTTTGTCGTTTGAGATTTCATAGGTGGACTTCAATAAGGGGTTATAATTATTTGCTAGACGAAAAGAATCTGCAGTTTCATCCGATGTTCCATCATATATTATGAATCCATCGTCCCTATATTTTTAACCTATAATATAAAATTAAACAGACCTAGAAAAATCCTATTGTACGAGTTTTCTATCTATTTATATCTATATTTATGTTTATAAATCGCTTATATCGGCAGTCTTCGGAGGTCAACTCAATAGTTAATTAGATGGCGTCTAGACTAAAATTCACAAGAAACGATGAAACATATTATCGAGCCCATGCCTTGTAAATTGTTTATTTTATACTTTTTTTAATTTGGATATATGTTTTAGTATGCTATAAATCAAATATGAGAATTTGAGTCAAATCGATGAACATGAACATGAATTTGACAACCAATGCCCCTTTAAATGAATCTAATTGGCAGTAATGTTGAGTATTTAGTTGTCTTGTGATATAATTTCCCGATGTATGGCACGTAGAAGCAGGTTTATATCCTGTATTGCTATGAAATGGATGAAGGTCATTTTTGTCGAGCCTTCGACTTTTGGCGGCGGCGACGGCGTCCACAAATATTCACTCTGTGGTTAAAGTTTTGAAATTTTAAAAACTTTCTTAAAGTATCCTGGATTTCTACCAAACTTGGACGGAAGCTTGTTTATGATCATAAGATAGTATCCAGAAGTTAATTTAGTAAAAAAAAAATCATTTTTTTCCGTATTTTACTTATAAATGGACTTAGTTTTTCTGCCAGGAAATATAACATTCACTCTGTGGTTAAAGTTTTTAAAATTTTAATAACTTTCTTAAACTCTCCTGGATTTGTACCAAACTTGGACAGAAGCGTGTTTATGATCAAAAGCTAGTATCTAGAAGGAAATTTTGTTAACATTTTGTACCTATTTTTCTGTATTTTACTTATAAATGGACTTAGTTTTTCTTCCAGTTAACATTACTTACAGTCTGCAGTTAAAGTTTTTAAAACATTTATTAGATTCATAAACTATCCTGGATTTTTACCAAACTTGGACAGAAGCTTCTTACAATCAAAAGATAGTATCGAGAGGAATATTTTTATTAATTTTTTTCCTCATTTTTGTTGAGCCTGCGATTAACAGCAAAAGTAGGCGAGACACTGGGTTCCGCGGAACCCTTACAAATTTGTTTCTTCATGACTGAACATATATCGACATCGCAGTTGTCTAGCAAATTCACTGTAGTCTTTTAGTATAGACATTTTTGCATTTTTGCTTGATGGCGTTGGTATAAATTTCAAGCCTTTCGTCAACAGGATATATTCCTGATTTGATAATTTGCGTTTTAATAGATTAACTACATGCTTTTTTGCATGTGCAGCTCTTTGCTGCATATTATATTCATTCCGTTCTTTTTTTATTGTAGAATAGGATTTTCTGCTTCTTAGCATTTCTATTAAAACGACGTGTCAACTGAGTTCACATTGGGTGATTCTCTTAGCTACGTGCCTTTGATGATCTCACATTTGGTGGCTCACGCTTATCTCTACAGTAACTATTTATTTGTTACAAACGCTTAGTTATATATTGGTTATTCTAGAGACATGTAGATTAAAATTTAAAGGTCTCTGAATAATTCTGAATGATTAACTTTTCTCTGTGAAAAAGTCCACATCCTTGACATCCATACTACAACGCACAACATGTATTTACGAATGTTGTATACAAAAATGGGTTTGGGAATGAATTAATGATTTTTTGGGATATTTCAAAATAGTTTTAGGGATACGGGATATTTGTGAAAAAAATTATTGGGATATTAGGGGTAAACATTATAGGGATATGGGATATTGGGACAAAAACTTAATGGGTATGGGATATGGGATATTGATACCCCCCCTAAACAAGCCTCATTAGCACAAAATAGAAGGGCGCCGCGCCCTGTGTGCCCTCAGCCGCGCCCTGTGTGCCTTCATCCGCGCCCGTCTGCCCTGACGCCTTTTTCCCAAAAACCCTTGTGCCGTTTTGGTAAAATTGCCTTTTGTTTCATCGATTTCTTATCACAAAGTTAAATTACATATATGACACCAGGTGATTGCCCCCAGGTTAATTATGTCATTACAATCAATTACAGTGGATAAGACTTCAAAGGTGTTAATAACTAGGTAATTTAATTAAGACAATGTACCTTTTTGTCATAAATTTGATGAATGTGTCAGCGAGTGTTTTTAGTTTGGGTCGGCATTTTTGATCTCCAAGAAGAGTGTATAAATGAAGACTTTCATGACTTTAGAATAGAATTTAAGTCATCAAAATACAACTATGCTTTCACAGAAACGCCGTCCATCTCAACTTGTGAATGACAAGCAAACAGTAAACGTGTTAGAAATTAATTTTGAAGTTACTTCCCCTGTTTTAGCTTATTACAAATTTGTGCTCCTAAAATGTTATCTAGTACTAAAAATAGGAATAAATTACCAATTGAATACAAAATTATATAAGAATGCTACCTTAAGGATATTAACTGTCTTTGAACATACCAAAAAAAAAATATATTGCAATTTATTTTTGATAATCATACTTTTAGCAATCCATGTTCTATACATTGTCAATTAAGAAATTTACAAATGAAATACATTTTCTAATGCAAATTTTATAGAATAAATAATCAAAACAACAACTTATGCATCTTTATTAACAACATATATATATATATATATATATATATTAATCCTACCAATCAGTTATGGTTGTATCATTGTTAAAAGTAAAAAAAATCAACTATCACTTGTTTAGAACATATCCAGCTTTCATTTTCTGTGTAGTTTAATTTGTCCAAGGCATTGTGCAAGGACAAGTCTTCCTGTACTTTTGAAATGGTTTATGAGGTTCAATTTTAATTTTTCTGAGTACAGAGTCAGAAACCAATTCTAAGTGTAGAACAGGGTGATTTCTTATCACCAGATTAAGTACATGTATGTTGAGCTGTAATGCTTTTCCTGTACATGTATTGGTTGTTATTGTGCACAAAAAAGATGCATCACCACAATTTTCTATGAGTCATCTAGTTTTTCACAGGCTAATTAAGCAATTTCAATAGGTTTCCAATTAAAATATTTGATCACACTTCTCTATTTTGACCCCTTTACCCTGATGAAACCTATCATTGGATGAAATCACCCATTAATTCATGTTTTTATATTTAAGGAATGACTGTAAATTTCTTTTCTGTCCCTGAAGAAATAACATCAAAAATGTGGTGCACACTGAATAACCCATGTACATGATGTAGAGTGTTATTTATTAGTGTGCACCACATTTTTGAGGTTATTTCGAATAGACAGAAAAAGTATTAGTCATTCCTTATAATTTAATTTCAAATTTCTTATTTAAGGAGTAAATCATGAAAAAACGTTAATGACGTCACAATCACATGACAAAATTATGTCTATGAGCTGACAGATAAAATGTTTTCAGCCAATCAGAAGATGTGTTACATCCAAAGTTAAATTATGGATGTATGTATTAATTCCAGTACAACTGTACTACATACATGACATACAATGTAAAGATTTTTAACTTTCAACATGTGGCTTTTGTGTGCAAATGAAATCAAACACAACATACAGACTACGTAACAATGTACATGTATCTTGTACATGTAAATATGTGACTTAAGTATTTGTTTGAGAACTTTGAAGATCTGTCCATAAGTTTTCTAAATATGCCTAACATCAAAATCCTTTTTTTTAACAATCACTCAGGACATGCATTTTATAGCCATCGGATATAATTTGTAACAGAGTACTAATAATTAATTTACCAAATATTTTTCAGATCAATTGAACTTAGCAATCACAATACTTGTATAAATATAAATTTATGTACAATGTACAAGTATTGTTAAAAAAATCAAAAAAAATCTATATGGTTTGTTATAATTCATTAGTATATGTATATGAGTTGACAATACTAACTCATATGACATGTATATAATTTATGTACAAGTATTTGTGCTCCACATGTGGCATCCACCTTGTTGCTGATGTAAGTACATACCCAGCAGTGGTTCAAATTAACATTTGGTTCTTGAAGGTCTGGGACCTTTGACACTCCAAATTGAAAGGTCCACAACCAAAATCCCAGGTCCTACTTTTACATGAAATATTTCTCATTAAGATACAAAATTAATGTGCTTTTGGTGCTATGTTAGCTTGTTTCATCATACATTTGTATTTGACAAGTTTACAAATAATATATTGCCATGCAACCATATAGACCAAACTGTCAGTGTCGCTGTAGTATTACATGTATAACAATAAATGTAATTGTCTTGTATATAATAAATTGCAACAATCTATTTTTTTTTTTTTTTGGTGCTGGGAAGGTCTCACTACAACATGTGCATGATGCGTGTGTGTGTGTTGTCTCTATCATTGACAATTATACCATAATCTGTTATTGATGTGAAAGTGGCAACATCAACACCATTTTTGCTCTGGATTTCAAGAATAAATTCGTAGTCACTGAAGGGTTTCCCTTTTTTTGCAACACTATGCAGTGTTGAAGAAAACCGTATATCTATTTAACTGATCAGGCTTACATTGCTGCTTGTGAATACATTAGTGTCTGACAATAAATCTTTAGACATAAAATTTGGGTCCCTTTCATGGATCCACTGATTTAAACAAAATAAATGCTGGGGTGTCACTTCGTATATTTTTATTGGGTCTACTTTTAAGATTTTGTGTTCCCCTTACTAGTGAACTTTCTATTTTTGAATGGGTAGGGAATTTCTGGCAGTATATAAACAACATTAGACCAGTTGTTTTGATTATCTCGTTTTCACGATCGTATTTTTGGTCTTTAGTGAGATCTTCATCTGATTTCTTTTGTTTTGTTCCCAAGGAAGACGTTGAAGCTCCACCGTTCATCATCTTCAGGCTTTCCCTCTAAGATGTGACACCAATGAGAAACACACTCATTTTGTTTGAAAATGTCTAAATGATTTGTCAAGTGACCTATCGCAACTATCTAAAAATGTATAACCTTGTGTATGGTCGGCAAGGTCAGGAATGAAACATTTCATTATCTTAACTTCAATAATAATATGGCTTTGAAATGACGATACTGATGGTGAAAAAGGTCGGCAAAGTTAATTTTTATTTTCTTTCAAATCAAAGGTCCGTCCGGCATAACTAGTAACCAAAACGAAAGTCTGATTGCAACAGTGGAAGGTCACGGACCTCAGACCACCACTTATTTGAACCCCTGCCCAGTTACAATTCTTATTCATTAGTTATCATTTGAGGAAAAAAGGACAGGATAATGGTTTAGACAATTGGAACATTACATATTCATCACCATCTGTGAAAGATAAACCATAATCAGCTGATAATGACTTTTTTTATGTTCAACCAAAAATTTCTTGATGGCGTTCGTACAATTTTCGAAGGGATTATTTCGACCCAAACACTTAAATAGTTTCCTTGTGTGCAATAACCCTCTTACAAGGAAATTTTGATAGAAAATGTAAGCTCTGGAATATCGTATTTGTATGTTTGTTTTTTTACTTGGTTTTATAAATTATATCTGCCATAATCTGGTATGGTTTAATTTGCAAGGAATGAAATGCTAAAATTTGCCGGTTAGTACTTACATTTTACGAGTTCGTTATTATAACTCTGTAAAGCAGCCCCTTGTTGCGACATATTAAGGGCGCTTGAGAGCAAAAAATGAATGAAGAAAATTTGAGTTTCGCTGTCAAAACTTGTTTGCACTTTTTGTGTTGATAAGCAAAAATGAGTACTACGTCATAAAGAATGTTGTTCAGAATAAAAAGTGTATCGGATACGGAATAATGACGAACTATTCCGGGTAATTGTTTCTCCAGTCCTCAAAAACGTAGGATAGAAAAAGAAATAAAAGGAAAATAGGAAAATGAAAGATGAAGAAAATACAGAGAAAAAGAAATACTTAAATTTCCTGGTTAGCCTTTAAATTTTCACAATACAATTACCTCCTTTAGTACCCTCAGTAAATGACGACTCGAATTTCAAATTTTCAAATTTCGAATGTGAACAGCTTAAATTACTAGATTGAAAGTTGAAATACATGTGTGTTACTGTGTGACATTCTTTTGTGAAATAATAAATAATTGGTTGAAATAATTGTTAATTTATAAACCAGGAAAAATGTAATGATCATTATAACCAGTTTCCGTTAAAAAAACATAACTGAATTTTACTTTTTCTTGCAGATTTTCATGATGGAAACAAAACACAAAAATGGGTGGAATTTGTGACAAACAACAAGGTATTGTTTTTAAACCTAAAATAGATATGCATTGCTTCGGTCAGTGAATCTTATTTGTTGAAACTTTTAAAGAGTCGTTTAAACTTTTGACATTAACAACAGGTTATTGAAACACAAAATAAATTCATCTATTTAAAAAAAAATATCATTTAAAGATTTCATGATATAATTCTCTTATATTCGTCATGTGTTATCTAATTATTAAATGGACGAAAACTCATTTGAAATTTACACCATAAATCACAATATTTAATCCGGTATATTTTGTTAGGCACTAAGAAGCTCCACAAACTCAATATAAGGACATTCAATCCAAAAATTAGACCTGAAATGGCTGATGGATTAAATGAAATTCCAGTATGGGAGAAAACATACGAAAAATATGACAAAAAGCAATTAGCACAAGAGTGCTCACGACTTCAGACGGAAATTAAAGGAAGACTTGATAGACTGAAGAAAGTAGACGAAAGCCTTACTGGGAAGAAAAAAGATAGCAAAGAAATTATCGATCAAATTACCGAAGCAGAAAAGAACTTTGCAAAGGTAAACTTGAATATCTTTTGATGACTAAACTATTCTTTTATTTTATGAATTAATTCCATTTCATGTCGTGTATGATACATTAAAGTGATTGCAATCCGACAATCAGGCAACAGCAAACACCAAAAACATATATATTTGTATATAATTCAACTACTTTATATTAACTTACTGATTTCAGTGGCTTTCGGTTTTTTACGTTCGACTATCTCAACTCGCGTGATCGTATATATGAGGATAACGAAATCAAAGATCTATATTTTAATAAGATTGAAAAGAAAACATTTTAGGAAAAAAAATGAGTCCCGTTTTAGAAAAAAGTAGAATCCCTGACAGACACATACATAAGCTTTAGTTATTGTTAAAGTTGAATTTACATATATAATTTTTTATGAGTATTTCATATTTGAACCACCTGTTTATGAGTATTTCATGGTCACCCTGAATATATTTAAAGTTAAATCTCACAGAGTCACACTAACATACAATTGTAAAGGTATAGCTATGATTCGAATTTGTCTTTAAGATGGAATAAGACTTCGAGTTAAACATCGAATTACACTTTTGGTAATACTTCGTGTTAAACTTTGAGTTTTTCCTTCTATTCTTTTAAAGTTTTGACTGGACATCCTCCAATTTTTTAGACTAAAGAAGTCTGTAATTAACATTATCACTAAATATAATTTGATTTCGTTGAGAAGAGATGGAGTTGCTGAACAAATTGTATAATCGGAAATGTCTGCACCATAAATAATGCTTTCCGTTCATAATTGTAGAAATACTCTCAGACTGGTACTTTTGAAAATAATTGATACTCCCATCTCATTAAAATGCAGATCTAGTTTAACTCGCGTGCTCGTACATATGAGTATAACGAAATCAGACAACTATATTTTAATTAGATTGTTGATACGCTTAATATGTACAGGGTTGTCTTATATAATATTGAGAATGGAACTGGGGAATGTGTCAAAGAGACAACAACTCGACCAAAGAACATAAAAAAGCTGAAGGCCATCAATGGGTCTTCAATACAGCGAGAAAATTCCGCACCCGGAGGCGGGCTTCAGCTGGCCCCTAAACAAAAATGTGTACTAGTTCAATGGAAATGGACGTCACACTAAGCTCCAAAACATATAAATGAACTCAAATTAAAAAACATACAAGACTAACAAAGGCCAGAGGCTCCTGACTTGAGACAGGCGCAAAAATGCGGCGGGGTTAAACATGTTTTGTGAGATCTCAACCCTCCCCCTATACCTCTAGCCAATGTAGAATAAACAAACACACAGCAATACGCACTGTAAAACTCAGTTTAAAAGAAGTCCGAGTCCGATGTCAGAATAGGTTACCTTGAAAAGAAACTAAGCAAAATGACAATGATATATACATTTACAAAGGACTACACTAGCAGTTACTGACATGCCATATATGTGTACGGCTAGCACTAGCGTGCCATCATGGCGCTTTATATATTGAACTCCAAGTGACGATATGACAAAGGTGCGTGATTTAAAGGGTGGCATATAATCAATTTAATTTTAATTTCAATTTCAATATTGATGTTCTCGTTTACATTGTTGAAAACTATATTGAATGAGTTTCTCTCATTGTTGAAAGCCGTAAATTGAATAACAGTTGTTTACTTTCATATCACATCACTCATTCTCAGGAAATCGGGCCCAATACTTGATGCATTGTCCCTGTAGATATTTTAAGCCTTATCTGCCTTGCTTTAAATTGTCTTTAAAATATGTTTTTGAAACTCCAGGGAGATATCTAACCGAAACAAACGTAATTACTCCGTAGAAGAATATCAAAATTACTCCAACCTTACACCAACACGTATAATTTTGAGTAAAACGAATGTCCCTGATGGTATAGATATTTTTTCTGTTGAGTGTTCTACTTAAGGTGGTACCCAACACCTTGACTAATATTAATTTGGCTCGTTTAATTTTCCTAAAATTTTGACAAAATGTTTACTTTGACCCTTTGACAAAAATATAAAAATTTCAAATAATTTGAACCAACCACTTTATCAGAAAAATTTCACTGGTTATATAGCAGTTTGACAAACACTAATTTTGATCTTAGAGAAGCTTAATATTTCCTTACCAATATAACGTGATTAAAACGTTTAGTAGATTTTTACAGAGTTATCTCCCTGTAGTGTTAGGTACCACCTTAAGAAGCTCGCAAAACGTGTACCAATCTTGCCTTTTCCGATCCATCACCATTCAGTCAGTATAGTACATATCTTTGTCAGTTTAAGTAGTTTGTCATAGAAAATAACAAACACAGTTTTGAGATAATATGTTACTATTTTTGTGACCAGATACGTTACCAACTTTTAATTTGACTCTACATTTATCTAAAGGTCAATTGAAAGAATAGTTATCTTGCTTTTGAAGTGTTGGCCTATAGTTGTAACCGAAACAAAATTATGTTACGTGTATTTATAACGATAAGAAAATTGACAAGCTGCTAAACTAGGAAATGGCTTTTTACGTTAATTTTAAACAGATACGTTGCTATGGAATCGTTTGGATAAAAATTAACCACCTTCACGAGATCCATTTAACTGCATAAATATATTTTTACATATTTGATCTTCCTTTTCAACAGTAAAACATGTCATATATTAGAAAAATATTTGAAACACAAGACTAAGAATATTTTGTTAAACAGATACGGTACCAAAAGATACCTTACCATGTTTCGATTAACGATGAAATATCGGTACCATTTCGGGATTCAGACATATGAGCTATCTGCTTTCATATATATTTGTTTTGTTTAATGACCAATGAATAAAATCATCAATACAACAAGTTATGAGCTGCAATTTTCGAAGACATATGAAGGACAACGTCAAATTAGATAATTAGATAATTGTACTGCTTTTAACTGGAAAATTTTAAACACGTAGATAATAATTAGACATTTGAATTTTGTACCTACAGGATAAAAATAATGTTAAAGTATTGTAATTCAGCTTGCAAACATCGAGTAACGTATTTGTTTCCCATGGTAACGTATTTGTTGCACGCCTTGAACAGATAAGAGCTAAGATCAACCACGTTGGAATCTTTCAAATCATATATACATTAATCATTTGCGCATAATTAAAAGTTGGTTTACACAAATTTATTTTCTAAGTTCAATCTTGGCAAATGGTCCCAATTTGCTGAGGATGAGTGACGTCAATGTTCATGCGGATAGTTGTCTCATTGGCAATAGTAACACACTTTATTTCCATATCAAGGTGAAACTGGTATCACAAAAATGTATCCGATATTTAGAATAAATGCTACCTGAAGAACTGAATTTTGTAAAAGGAACTCTGAAATGGTTAAAACGTATTTATCAACCCGAAAATAGAGCATCGTAATTAAAATCAGTATGATTGAGCATTTATCCACCTATACAGATAGTTTTGCTAGCAGAATCCATTAAATTTAAAGAGGGCATTAGCTACGAGATATACAAACATTAAAATATATTTTTTTGTTCAATCATTAATAAAAGTGAAATAGTGAAATGATAATTCGCTTTTAGCAGCCAATTTGGTTCAATTTTGTCAAAATAAGCTAAGAAACATCGCTGATGAATTATTCACTTGCAAGTGAATAATTCGATCTCATTCAATCCGTATTCATGTGACCTTTAATTTAACCTCTTAGCTGAAGATAGGTTACGCATGTATTCAGCTATTAAAAGGAAAATGATGTCAACATTGAAAGTGAAACAAAGATAAACATTTTGGTTGACTGATCCGATCCACAAAAAAATAATTCTTATACAGGTAAAAACGATGATAAACATACCTTTTAACCTGCAATATGAAATCAAACAGACCTAGAAAAATCCAATTGCACGTGGTCGCTATCTATTTCTATTTCTATTTATGTTTATATCGGATTATATAACTATCGACAGTCTTCGGAGGCCATCTCGCTGATTAATAAGATGGCGTTAAGACAAAGATACACACGAAATGTTGATCCATAGTATCGAGTCCATGCATTGTTAATTATTTTAGGCTTTATGTAATTTGGATATACGTTTTAGTACATTATAAATCAAATATGAGAATTTGTGTCAAATCGGTGAAATTGAATTTGACAGCCAATGCCCCTTTAAGAGAAAGATATACTGATACTCAATATTAACTCGCTACAGTTAACTTAACAGCACACCACGTCCAACGACACATTCATTCATATTAACAAAAAATATTTGCAATAATACCACATCTCTTTCTTTTTAATTTAATATGTATAAAAATATGAAGATGTGGTTTGATTGCCAAAGAGACAACTCTCCACAAGAGACCAAATGACATAGAAGTTAACAACTAAAGGTCACCGTACGGCCTTCAACAATGAGCAAAACCCATACCGCATAGTCAGCTATAAAAGGCCCCAAAATGACAATTGTAAAACAATTCAAACGAGAAATCTAACGGGTAAAATTTATGTATAAAATAATGAACGAAAAACAAATATGATACACAGCAACAAACAACAACCACTGATCGAATTACAGGCTCCTGACTTGCATGGGACAGGCACATATACAGAATGTGGCGGGGTTAAACTAGTTTGAAGGCACCAACCCTCCCCTAACATGTGGCAGTGGTGTAACAGCACAACACAAGAAAAACTATGAAAAACAATAAACGAATAACAAATATGAGAAACAGTAAAAAACGACAACCACTCAATCACAGGCTACTGACTTGGGACAGGCACATATACAATTTGGCGGGGTTAAACAAGTTTAAAGGCGCCAACCCTCCCCTAACCTGGAACAGTGGTGTAAGTGTGTTTGTATGTACCGGTTTGTTAAGTATTCTTTTATAGGCGCCAAGTCGAAAATTTCGTCACTTCTTTGTAGTGTCTTTATTTAGAGCTATGACTGTTTTAATGTCTATTTTAAATTTGTTCTCATCAGAAGTTATAATAATTTTAATGTAAATCTCTAGATGCAGCATTATTTTGGCAAAATTGTGTTTTTCTTATACAGGAATGATTAGAAGGGTTTCTCAAATTCTGAACCGATTTATACTTTCCATGAACGGGTTGTTTTGTTTAATTTATTTTATTTTTTTAAGGGGGAGGGTCTTTTTTGTTTGTTGCTGTTGCTGTTGTTGTTTTGTGATTGTATTTTAATTATTTGTCTTGTTTGTCTCGCTTATTCATTAGCAAAATATTGACACATGTCCTTAAGTTATCACTTTTGTTTTGCAGATAAATGAGACGTCTAAACGACTGATCAACAGTTTAAAGAGACAGACAACTATGCTGAAAGAGAACCATACTTATGAAACAAATAAAGAAATTTGATTTGAAGAATTTCAGTTGTCTACTATATAAATAAGGAAATATTGAAGTTTACTTAATATACGAAAAAGCTCTAAATTTTTCAGTGGCCAGTTTATGTATCGATGTTTCTACATGACTTAGATTCACAATTAATGTAATTTCAGGCTTTATTTATTGGTGAATAATTAGATATTTAAGAGAAAAATATATATACATACCAATTATTTTAATATTTACAATCCAATCTAGATATCATTCATTTGTGTATGAAAAATACGACGCTTATACAATTTTAAAATAAAGAATTTAAATGTTGTCATTTTAGTCAAAATGACAAACAGACCTTCTGAAAATCAGTACGAAATAAAATTTATACGCTTCACTCATCTTGCTTCAATTTGAAAGGAACAGCTTATTACCCATTCAAACAAGTGGGTAATTTATTCACATCATAATAAGTGTTGTGTTTGAACAGTTAGGATCTACCAAAAGGAAATTTTTATGTATCTAAAACTATAGTGCAAGTTTACAACGGATAGTCATGAAGAATTTTTTCATTTAAATTCCTTGTGTCAAAATCATCCAACAGTACAACTGATAAAACATTATATTCAACATGCATGACATGTATCTAGTTTCATTTAAATGGAGACGGTTAATTGTTCAAAATAGGATTGACCTCGTACAATAGACCTAAGTTATTATATTTAAAAAAACAAGGTTTTTTAAAAGTTCTGTGCACACGTGACTACTTTAAACTGCATATTTTAAGAACTTTTAGTACATCAATTATTGTTTTGCTTCAAAGTAAATAAGCCAAAATGAAAGAATCAAATATTAACAGTAAGTGCATTAATTTCAATTACATTATTTATGACAAAGTTTCATTGTTTTATTACTATTATTATAATATAAATTGTTTTTTTTTTTGGCTTTTGGTCGTATGTTCTAAATTGTTTGCAAGTTTTTGTTTGTGTTCGGAGCATTATCAAAAGTTTGCATTTCACTCTTTTCTCCAAATGGGTTGAAATGGTAGATTTTAATAGATAAAGTTGTTATTTTCAAGTTAGGACGTTCCAATCATAAAGAACGACTTGTCTACGCATAAATAACATCACAACAATGTTACATTAAAGATAGTGTATTGCATGTTTAGCTCACCTGGCCTATTTACAATCCCTTGGCGTCCGTCGTCGTCGTAAACTTTTTTTTCTAAATCTTCCCCTCTTATACTAGTACTGGGCCAAAGTTTACTTGAATGTTTCGTAGGGTATTAAGTTCAAAAAGTATATCCGGGGATTTAATCCACCAACAGACATGGCCGCTGTTGCTTAAATTAGATGATTAGATGATGATGATGATGATGATGATGATGATGATGATGATGAGGAGGAGGAGGAGGAGGAGGAGGAGGAGGAGGAGGAGGAGGAGGAGGAGGCTGCTGCTGCTTAACATCCAGCGGCAATTTAATATGCATATTCTGGACGAGAACCTAAAATTATAAGATACGGTTGATATGCAGTTGTTGGCTTGTTCTGAAAAATTAAAGCACTAACAGCAACTCTGACGAGGATCAAATGATCAGCAGGTCAAGGTCTATCTCCTGTTGAATCGGACAATACATTTTGGAGTAATAACCACTGATATGTAAATTTTAAGAAAATGTCAAAGTTTTGGGCTTATTTCTCAAAAAACTGAAGCAGTTAGAGCAAAGCTGAAATAGAGTAGAATTGATCAGCAGGCAAATGTCTATCTCCTGCAGAATGTTTATATAAATTTGGATAGCCCATGTTGGAGTTATTGCCCCTGAAATATTTTTTTTACAAATTTCGCAGTTTTTGGTTATTATCGTGAAAAATATGAGATAGAGAGAAATTCTAAACTTGTCAAACTTGGCAGAAATCCTCAAAAGATTCTTTATAAAAGTTATTTCCTATAACTTATGATGTTTTTTTTTATAGGAAACTATAGTTGATAGAGAGAATCTGTTGATAGTAAAAATGTTTAACAAAATATGATCTTCATTCTACAAATAAGATCTTCATTCTACAAATAAGTAAACATGGATGAATCGTCAATTGACCCCTTGAAAGATTAATCTTACTCATGTTTGCTTGTTTGCTAAAACTATAAAAGAGAGAAATGATAAAAAGTAAAAGTGTTCAGAAAAAAAAATCTTCGCTACAATTGTCGATTGACTACTTATAGAAGTTATTCCACTAAAGGATTGTTTTTATCAATTTAGTCATTTTTTAGGCAGAGACCGAGAGAAATTGTAAAAAAACAAAGATGTAAAGCACAATAAATACAGGCAATAGTAATAATTCGATTAAGCAAAAACAAATCCGGGTAATAAACTAAAACCGAGGGAAACACATCAACTATAAGAGGAAAACAACGGAACAACAGAAACACTGAATTACAACAAAAGCAAACGCAAACGCAAACATACACAGAAACGGACTGTAAATAACAACTGCCATATTCCTGACTTGGTACAGGACATTTTAAGAAAAAATGGTGGGTTGAACCTGGTTTTATGGCTAGCTAAACCTCCCGCTTATATGGCAATTTCAAAAATAACACCCAAATGACAACACTACGTGACAGGAATACAGTGCAAACGAAGGCAAGAACACTCAGCACATAGAAATACATAAATGAATAATATACTAGTACATTACAACATGTAAGCCACAGAATAGCAACGATCACCTCCCATGAATTTACGACTGCACACCAGGACACCACAAACGAATATAAACTGCGCGTCAAATGAATGGATCAACGTAACAAAAAGTGACGTATTTTTTGTGACGTTTATATTATCACAGGCACATTTCAAAAGATAAAATAGATTTGTTTTATTTATAAACACGTACAAGAATATTGGATTGGGAATTGAGTTTGTAATGGTGAATAAGATATACAGATAAGTCAATATGACCGAAATTGTACACATCTATGTCGATGTCTCAACTCCCTAGCGACATGTTTTTGATTTCTTTCATCTTTAGATACTAAAATAGTTGCCTAATCTCAAATTTTAGAGATTGTGTCTTATTCCTGATTGCGACATTTCCGTTGAATGAGTGGATTCACATGGCGGATGATGCATACATAGCAGGAGACTCTTACCCCCTATGCACCAGGTCGCGCTCTTTTTGAATTTCATGCGATTCCCTCAGTGTTTTGTCTTCTTAATCGATTGACGAGATTTGAATTTCGGTAAACTTCTGTTGCCTATAGCTATTAGCGAAAGAGTTTAAAACAAGACTATATTATGAAAAAAACGCCATGACACCCAAGCCGCCGTAAAGAAAGGTGTGAGAAGAAGAAAATGTTGTTGCATTATGGTGTAATGAAATATATCTTAAGTAAGAAAAAGCTATTAGATTCAGATAAAGAAAAAAGATCTGAATCTATTTATATAAGAAGCTGTAGTTATACTTATTTAAAACATTTGTTTTCATTTCAATCGATTAAAAAAAAAAAACCTAATATGTATTGTATACAGTTTTATCATATACTTATAGAAAATAATGGTATAATTGTACCCCATGATAAAACTTATTTGTACATATATTTATTCATTAAATTTGAAGAATTGCCTTAGCCGTGTGATATGACTTTTGTTATCAACTGCTTCCGGTTTATATCAACTGCTTCCGTTTCATATCAACTGCTTCCGCGGTTACTATCGCATGCTTTTCTGTAACGTTATCGCATGACAGTTTGGCGTCATTCGGCAAATTCTGGAAAATGTACCTCAATGGTACATTTTTTTTGTAAAACATAACAAAGTTGGGGAAAAAGAAAATATTAATAATCAGGAAAATATATTATTAAAAAATACAAAACAAATATTACAACAAACGCATTGTTTCAAAGTTTTAAAAATAGTTTTGTCTGTATGTGACTTTGTCTTCTGCTGAAGTATATGATAAAAATAACTTAACATGTCGTTTTTTCATATCAGACCCCTATCAGCCCATGGTCAAAATCATCCCTCGAGCCTGTTGGTTCTCGGGTTGATAACATGACCTAGGATAAGGGGACTGATATGAAAAAGGCCATGTTATAATCTATATATATCACTTATTGGCCTATATATATTTCATGTCGATACTTATAATTTGGAATTGCACAAGGTCTTGATCATCTCAGGCTGTTTATGACGTCTGTACACTAATTCCATTGGAGGCTGACATTAAAGATTGGTAAAACATAATTTATTTGTTGGATGCATTGAGTAAATAAAATCTTTAAAAATTGCTAGTTTCTCAATAATGTGCTTTGTTGCTATTAGTTGTTTTTGTGTTTCATGCCAATCAGATTAGTCAAGCCCTTTCCAACTGATATTTACAGTATTTGATGCCTTAGGTTTTCCTTAGTAAAATGATGATTTAGCTATATATCTTTGATTTCATGTCATAGATTAAAATAATATGTAGATCGTTATTTTACGTACGGAAGCCCATTTAGGACCTCCCGAAAAGAATTCGTTATCACGAATTTTTGGAATTAGTTATAACAGTTTTTGTAATTCGTAATAACGGATTAAATCCGTTATCATAATTTTTTGAAATTCGTAATAACAGATTAAAACGTGATAACGAACTTTATAATTCGTTATTACGGATTAAAATCATTCTCACGAATTTGTGTAATTTGTTATCACAGTATTTTTTGTAATTCGTGATTTTATGAAATTCATTATAACGATTTTAATCCGTTATCACGAATTACCAAAAAAATGTGATCACAAATTCTACGAATTCGTGATAACGAATTCGATCCGTTATAACGATTTATACAATTCGTTATCACGATTTATAAAATTTGTTATTACGATTTCAATCATCCGTTTTCTCGAATTACAAAAAAAAATATGATAACGAATTTAATTAGTTATTACGAATTACAAAAACTGTTATATCTAATTCCGGAAATTCGTTATCCCGAATTTAATCTGTGATAACGAATTCTAGAATTCGTGATAACGGTTTAAATTCGTGATTTCGATTTCAAATGTATTTTTTTGGGATGTCCTAAATGGGCTTCCGTATTTTACGTGTATAAGAACGATTTTTTTTGGCCGAGTCAGTCAATGAATTAATTCTTTCTAGTGGTCCTCTTGTTTCAATTTAAAAATTTTGACACCTTTTCATTTTCTGAGCACATGCGCAAGCGACTATCTTTAACTAGGGTCAAGTTAAAGGTTTGCATGCATACGTATCCAAAATGAGGTCAAGCTATTGTATTGCAAGACTATAAAATATCAACAAATGTATTTGAGCTGATTTTAACAAAATTAAATCAAGATAGCTACGGATATCGAATTATTATTTCAATAATCCGATTTAACATGTTTAAGTAATGTTTGAAACAAAACTAATCATATTTTAATATTTTGTCTAAATCGTAGACAATCCATTTTAGATATATTAACCTGATTTATTGGTATTTGTGTTAAAAAAGTAAAGTCCTAACTTCGTATTTGAAAAAAGGAAAGCCACATGTGAAACATACAATATTACCAAGAAGTACTGTAGACCGGATAAAATGGGACTATATATTTACCTTCCTGTCAAACCTATAAACAGTCCTCTGATCTGTATTACCAATTGCATCTGCCACACCAACTGTCAGTTATAGGTTGTAGTACTTCTATCTATAAAAAAGGGGCGAAAGATACCAGAGACATTCAAACTCATAAATCGAAAATGAACTGACAACGCCATGGCTAAAACAGAAAAAGACAAACAGACAAACAATAGTACACAAAACACAACATAGAAAAATAAATACTAAGCAACACGAACCCCACCAAAAACTGGGGGTGATCTCAGGTGCTCCGGAAGGGTAAGCAGATCCTGCTCCACATGTGGCACCCATCGTGTTGCACATGTTAGTACAAACCCGGTAAATAGTCTAATTCGGTAGGTCACATTCTTGAAAAGGGAACGGGATATAAATCGCATCAGAATTAACAGTTTAGCACGAAATAAAATTTTGGACGAATTTTACTTTTTAAAATCAAAAATCAACAATTGGTAATTAAAAAAAAAAAACGTTTATGAGTCAATGATAAATTTCAGGAGAGAAATAATATACGCATATTGTTTATATATTTTTTTCGTATATTGTATATTTTTATATAGATGGCTTCAACAATTATAGAAATTCCATGGATGTAGCCTCCGATGATTATGACAACGTTAAAGACCTAAGACAAGTTAATACTCTGCAGGGTACAAACGCTAGCGATACAGGTAAAAACGTGAATGCAAGTCGCCAGGACACTGATGTACAAATTCAGATGAATACAAGTGCAGTTAGAGCGAACAACGAGCCTGTGACTGCCAGAGATACATTGATTAGATTAAAGCAACACAGATGGTCCATACTTGCTTTTATATGTGGTGTAATCCTGACCCTAGTGATAGTTGTCCCTGTGATGATGTCAAAATCATCGTCTTCGGAAAAGGGTATATTAATTATTTTCATCATACATTACATTTCAGGAAACATTAAATAGTCTTTTTTCAAAATTCAAATATCATATATTATTCTATGTTCTTATAAGCTGAAAATAATAAAGAGATTAAAACAGATAAAATTAATTTCCACAGTCGAACTTGTTGTAATGTGCGATTTTAAAATTATATTACAAAGATTGCATCGGAAGATAAAGTGCGTCCTTTTCCACTAATGACACGTGTCGTGTAGCTCATGGCATGACGAAATATGGTGATAAGTAGTTTAAGATGATGTCAAAATCGACTAAAAGTTGACGATATTGCTGCTTCGACATGATAACAACTCCGTGGTCATCTGTTATACAAATATTCCATAGCGGCAAACCAAATGATGAAGGCGTCCTTTGCCCTTTCGAAGACTGACTTTAATGTTCCATTTTTTAACGCTTGGTATAATTTATGATTATGCTTGCAATTATTTCTTTTTATAAAAACTTTAAAAAGATAAACTTTTGAAGCATAATAATAAAATCTTTAGAGGTGCATTTATCACGCATAAAAGAAATTTTTGGGTATATGTCAATCATGCCAATTAGAAGCAATAAAAAAATAAACTATAAACGACATCAAAATATCCAGGTGCTTCTTCAAAAAAAAACAAGTGCATTACCTTTTGAAAATCTCAAATTAGCAGAGACTACCAAAGATGTGTCATTCACAAAGTTCTTTAAAGGAAACAAAAAAACACAGATGTAAACAAAATTAAGAAAATGTAGCTCGGTATTTAGGACAAAAACATAAACAAGTTGCGGAGTTACACTAGTTAATCGTTTAAATAAAAGTTTTCTTTGAACTAAAATTTGTTCACAACTTTTCAAGACTTGAAGCAATTTAGAGTTTGACAAATTGGACAAATATCTATTTATTTTTAATCCCTTATATTGAAATTTTAATCTGTAAGCCTTATTTCAGTTGGGCTGATGGCTTCTTCACGTATTCACCAAACGTCGTCTATTTCCAAGATTAATTCGTTTATCTAATTTTGAGTTTTGTAATTTCGAAAAAGCTGCTTTTGTGTTTTTTCTATATTTGATTTTTTTACGTATACATTTGTAAAAGTTCATTTCAGATGACAAGACCGATTACGCATTTTCGTTGAGATTTGACAGGAAATCGACACATTCATTAGTTTTCCTGTCTGATGATAATACAGTACTGGGTAATTCTTTCAATAAAGAGACTCCAAATGCTGTAAATCATCCGGCACAGTTTAACACGTACAAAGGAACAATTGGAGATAGATGCTTAACTTCTACAAGTAAAATATACTTTGAAATAAAGTTCTCGTACGAAATATTATCGTCATTAATTGATAACTCTTCGAGCTTAGTCGTCGAAGTAGGAGTGATCAGTCGCACAGAAATAGACAATCACTTCTATGCCGGAACCAATGGATGGTCGTTTAGCATTCATAATTGCCTTTCTTACATATGCCTAACCGCCCAGCATTCGATTTCGAAAACAGATGAACCAATCAAAATAATGAGTGTGAGTAATACAGCCGGGACAGTTGCCACAGGAAGACTTGGATTTTTTGTTAATATGAACCACAATGAGTTTTCAGTTATTGACAAGGACAATTCAAAAATATTGTACACATTAAAAAGGGTAGTATCTGCTGACCAACTATGTTTGGCGTTTGGCGTTTATAATCCACAAGTACTGGAAGCAAAACTGGAGATTTTGTATTCGTATGACTTCACAACTCTTCCAATTATCAATGTTGTTGCTTAGCAAAACGAGACATATTCGATAAAATCCTATTACGGCTCCTTATTCTTGCAAACATATTTGAACTATCATTTAATCGTCATCATTCCAATGTATCATAGTTTAAACAATGAATTGATATGAAATATGTAATTTGTCTTAAATATAAATAAGAAGATGTGGTATGAGTGCCAACGAGACAACTCTCTATCCAAGTCACAATGTGTAAACAGTAAACAATTATAGGTCAAAGTACGACCTTCAACAAGGAGCATTGGCTCACACCGAACCGTTGTGAAAGTGTACATATAAGTTTCTTTCTATGACGTCAACATTTTTTCAAAATGTTATATTATTCCAACAATTTGAAATCGCCATCGACAAAAATATATTTCAAAACTATTTTTTTTTTTCAAAAAAAAAAGAAAACGATATGACTCGAATATTTATAAATAGCTGGTTAACCCTGTGCTCTATGTTTCGGGTACTATTATCAAAACCAGTGTGACTCCAGAATTTTGTCACTTTCATTTGGAATGCATATTTTTTAAATCTTTTTCTGATGTAACTTTCGGAGCTTTAAATCTCGATATTTCGCTTTCCTACATATATGTAAAATATAATAGATACATTTAATGGATTTGATAGTGTGGGGTATTAGAACTCTTACTGCTATTATTACCCCGTCCTCTCTTTTGGAAATACAAGTAACAAACACGACAAGTAAAATACCAATTAATTTTCAATAATAAAATATTTGGCATTTTTATAATTCAAATCCGTTCCTTAATCAAGGTAGAATTGATATACTTTACACTATATTAAGTATATTGTTTCAATAAACAAACCATTAATTAACAGTGATTAACTCATAGACGGTAATAGTTTCGTATGGATACCAAACTGCATGAAAGAGTAAAATAACAAAAATATCGGACTGCGAGGAAAATTCAAAACGGAAAGTCCATAATCAAATGGAAAAATAAAAAGCTCAAAACACATCAAACGAATGGATAAATGAAGGTAACAGTAGTATATCGCTGTTCAAAATCATAAATCGATAAAGAGAAAACAAATCCGGGTTACAAACTAAAACCGAGGGAAACACATCAACTATATGGGTAAACGGAACAACACAAACACTGAAGTGCAACAAAAACTAACGCCAACATACATAGAAACGGACTATTTGATAACAACTGCCATATTCCTGACTTGGTACAGGACATTTAAAGGAAAGATGATGGGTTGAACCTTGTTTTATGGCTAGCCAAACCCCCCGCTGATATGGCAATGTTAAAAAAATATATCGCTAAAATGACAACACTACGTGACAGGAATACAGTACAATCAAACGCAAGAACACTCAGCACAGAGAAACGCATAAATAAATAATACAATAGTACGTTACTAATATGTCAACCCCAGAATAACAACGAACATCTTCCATTAACGAGAGCACAGGACTCCACAAACGGTGACGTATTTTTGAGACGTATATATAATCTAGAAATTCATACAATTAAATGGAACGAGATCGAAAATTTAACAATTACTTTCACAATACTAGTCCAAATAATTATCATGATGATGACGGTATTTAAAAGGCTATTTTAAATGAATGCTGTGACGACATCATACTTATTTGGACTAACACAATACTTTATTCATGGAAAATGGAAATCAACTCGACTATACTGACAGATAAGGCATCTGTGAAATGTACCGAAAATACAGATTTCAAACCACAAACGATAAGACATAACACAATATCCAACAGAACCCACAATAGAAACATCATAACTAAATACATGAATGTTGGATGTATAAATGCTGAGACACGTCATATAGCAATGCAAATTCGGGAATAGGTTACCTTCGGTACTTAGCAGACAGACGACATAGATGCTAAACCACAATCTAACACGTGGTAGAAATGTCGTCAATTAGTTTAGACACAGACACATCGTATAAATCAACCAATTTGTGATGGTGTCCATAAAATTTACGGAGTGTCATTTTTAATCTTTCCTCCTCATTACTCTTTTGGAGCAGTTTCTGCGTAAGGAGCACTCTCCTGTATATGAAGTCCGTATAGTGTGAACATGCACGAGCATAACGTATCAATTGTGATATGTAAACACCATAAGACGGAGCAGAGGGTGTGTTACTGTTGAGAAATGGGAAATTGAAAATTGGGAAGTTGAAATCATCCCGTTTGTCATAGATTTTAGTGTGAAGTCGTCCATCTGTGTCAATATTGAGGAAAAGATCAAGGTATGAAGCAGTCCTTCTAGAATCAGTAGTATCCTTAATTTTAAGTTCACTGGGATATATGAGATGTAAGTAGTGTCTGAAATATGGGTTATACAGTGATAGGACATCATCAATATATCTGAAAGTAAAACTCAAGAATTTCGCAAGGTGCTTTTTCTTTTTTGTCTTTTAGAAGGTTCTGAATGAATTCTGCTTCATACGAGTAACTACTGTCACATTCTTGACTTGGCATTTTCTTATGTAGAAAATTGCGGATTAAACCTGGTTTTATAGCTAGCTAAACCTCTCACTTGTATGAAAGTCACATACAATTCCATTATATTGACAACAATGTGTGAACAAAACAAACAGACATATTAGATAAAAATGTCAAAAATAGGGGTACAGCAGTCAACATTTTTTTTATAATCTTAATCACTATAAAAAAAATATGTCAACAATGAAAAACAAAAAGGAATATCGACAAGGCACATTATCAAAAACGAAAGACAAGAATACAAAACTTTACGATCGCACAATAACACAATGACGGGATGTATAAGTACCGAGCCACGTCAAATGGATATTACAAAAAATACTATAAACAGTAAAAGTAATAATTTACAAAGACAAATAAAAGAACACTATAACACGTAACTAAGATGATAAACAACGTCAGTACCTGGAATCTATACTTCAATATCATCGTGTATTATTTATTAAGTTGATACGGAATATTTATCAGCAAGGTCTTGGTATCTTCCGATGAACTTTCTTAGAAATAGACAATTTATTTCTTAGAAAAAGGACGAAACGTTCTTTTACATAACCCTGGTTTATCAACTTTCTGCTCAGATACTGGTGACGTTTTACAAAGCCTAAGTAGCAGCTGCAAGCTCCCGAATACCGAATGAGTTCGGAAATGTATATCACATATGCAGGTGAGGTTGATAATTTTCAAAATAAAAATCGTCTCGATTGTC